CGTATGCAAAATCTCTCTCAAGCCGGGTGTATAAGCCGATAAGTCGCAGCGGGTGTTCCCCTTGCCGTCCGAAAATTTATTTCTCATTTTTGTGGAGAGGAGCGAGTTTATGTGACCAATATGTTCTCACAGAACGTTCTGCGTCGACCGACCTGACACACTTGTTGGGTATCATCTCTCTCGCCCTAGCGCCTGTCAGCCTCGCCCCTCCTTTCCACTACTCGCCAAGGGGTCGATCCCACCAGTCTCCCCTTTAACCAATGGAAAGAACTTTTGGACCCCTCCATTGGCAACGTTAAACAACCCGATATCAGCCACAACAGGGTGGGCCACCTGGTGCCACTGACTGCATCGGAGTCACGATCTTGCTGACAGGGGTGTGCCACAGCTAAACCTGGCGGTGCACATGCCCTATGATTAGCACCGAACCTGCCAGTATTATGTCCATCAAGTATCAATAGCATTATTCAGTTCTGAAAGTGGGACGGCTGCTCTGGAGCTCCCTGGACAAAGACCTACCACCCTACTAATAGTACAAGTACGTTCCCTGCACCTGGCTCCGCCCTCAACAAAAATCCCCGATCCAGTTCGATGACGGCATCACAGGGCCTCAGAAGTGCTGCAGGATACTCAAGCGCCGGAGATCGCCGGCGGAGAGCAACGGATGAACGATCAACGTCAGAATTAGGCCTTCAATCTAGCCTCATGGGGACTCCAAACGAACCCCGCAAAGTGGACAGGTCTTCGTCCCCACTGCCCTGCTTGGAAACGGAAAAAGGGCCAAGCCAGGAAATTTCCAGCATCTTTTGAGGCTCTCTGTACCCTCTTCGACAGGTCTTCCCGTAGAACTCCACGGCGAGTACGCGAGTAGTGGTGCTGGGTCCGGTCGTGCTGATTTTCCACCAAGGCCGAAGATGCCCAAGGGCCACCAGTACCAGGGAAGTCTCACGATTCACTTTAGCTTCAAGTAGCAAAAAAGTTGGTAAGAAAATCTTCTAGATTCAAACGATAAACCCTGGGTTTTCCTATCCGCCAAAAAGAAAAAGAAAAAAGAAAAAAGGAAGAAAAGAGAACGAGGAGTGATGAGTTGTATGGGGTTGCTGCGCCACGATTTTCCTTCTCTTCCACCCCATACCATGCCCCATGGCATGGTGCTCTGTCCTCGAAGGAGCAGAAAGCTACCGAGGTAATAATACCAGCATCAATAATTGCTTGGCTTCTTTCTGCGGCCGCTAGAGCGAGAAAGCTCAACCGGATAATAACTCATGTCAGCAGCCAACATTGAACGGTGTTTGTGAATATGAGGACGAAACTCCTGACTAATAATGCGTCGCTCCATGCATGGCACCAGCAAAAGGCAAGATGTGCGAGATGCTCCACTGTGCTGTGCCAGCAACGCACAGGAGGATCATGTAATGAATGGTACGTAATAATCATCAACAGCCGTTACTCGAAAACGATTCAGTTCGAAGCAGTGTAGGCTCAAGGAGGCAGGCCGCATTCCTTACTTTCCTTACTTTCGCTCCTTCATCTGCAAGTCTCGCAACTGCAGCCCTATCTTTGCGCGCACTCCCCTCCCCGATCTCTCTCTCTCTGGATGTTCATCCCCCCCTTTTTTGTTTTCCCCAAGGAGGACTCGGGCTTCATTTATGGATGAATGTTTCCCCACCTGTTTCGAGCCCCCAGGGCCGGTTAACATTATCCTCAATTCGATCAGAGGCTACATCCATTGTAATAATACATAATACACTAAAAAGAAGGGGAGGAGAAGCTTAGAGACCATTTAGTGAAATGTCTCTTGGCTGCAAATCAAGCTTGGCCATATCTTTTCCTCGTTCAAACAAGCTCAAGAGTATTCTCCCTAGATCGTCCCGCCTCGCATCCCGCTATTCCCCTCTCGCCTTTCTCACCCTCGTTCCCCGCCCTGTAGTCCGTGGGCACTTAATTTAGGTGAGAAGCGTACGCGCCCGGAATATCAAGGTGATGAAGCCATCACCCTCCGACCAGCGCTCCGAAAATGTCGGTGCCTCCGCTATGCTGCTCGACCTCCATTACTCGAGTTCCCAGACAGCACAAGCAACGTCATCTCACGCCCAATTTCTCCAGCCCTCCACCCCCAAAATCCTTCAGGTCCTCGGTACCGGAGCCGTTATTTGCCCCTCCCTCCCCAATGGCCTGACTCGCGTCATCTCAAACCTCTGAATACCCACCGTCGACAAACTTCGTGTAATCCTCCTTCCATCCTCAATCTTGATCTTGAGCCCCCTTGCTTACCGGGGCGGAAACTAGCAGACTCTTGTAAGCGCGTGCTCGTGCTCGTGCTCGCAGAGTCTCTTGCCACTCTGACTTAGCGTACGTTCAGTTTTAGCGAGGCTGTTAAGAGAGACGGGCCGAGCCCTATTATCACCCATCTTTATAGCAACCATCACGACACGAAGCCATCTCTTATAAGGATTATTATTATCGTGGGGTCGAAAAGCATCCCAAACAACCCACGAAAAAAAGACCTGCTACACCTCTTTCTAGGCTCACGTCTCCTCTCATACATCACCACTCACGCATCCCACAGCCCGGCACTCTCCGTCAAGCTCCCGGCGCCGGTTCGTATCCGCGCAGTGGGAGTCCATGCTGCGTCAAGTCCAATTCTGGACTGCCTTGACAAAGATAGACCCCCCGGCTTCCCCTCTCCCTCCTTCGCTTCAGGCAACAATAACAAAACAATATCAAGGCCTCCAAATGACGGGCGAGCCACACCGTGTTCTCCGTCTGACATCTTCCTCGCCCGGTTGGCATCCACAACCAAAGTTACATCCCGGTAGTCCCCTCGGCGGATCAAGCAAGGCGCGCGTGACATGAGTAGTCATCAGGACACGAGGCGCCCTTTGCCTGCCTACGCGCAGGAACAATATCTGGGCTTTACCTCGCGTCGGACAAGAATTAACAACACTTAGTGATCCCAAGAAACCAGAACCCTCCTGAAGCGCGAAGAAGGGGGAGGAGAGAGAAGAAAAAAATCGCCTTGCAGGAAAGGGCTTGAGGCCTAGGCCACAGTCACCAGACCCTCGCTTCGATGTGCCAACTCGAGGCCCTTTCTCCACGCCTTGAACCCGCCTCAACTCTTGTTATTCTTGTTATTCTTGACCAAAGAATACGATATCACAGTCTAAGCTTCATCTCTCCCGGCATCTTTTCTTATTTTTTCGCCCGCTCGCGCAGAAACGGCGACAAAACTAGTCAAGTCGCACCCATTCATCTATCCTCACACCCCCTCCCTCTTCTAGTCGAAACCTCTCGCCTTGCCGGGCCATGATGGGTCCGTTTTGTTCATGGCCGCCTGCTCGCGTGACGCGTGACTCGAACTCTTTGTATGCTGTAAATGTTTTGCTCGTCATGCCAGTCACCTCGAGTTCCGGATTTTTCTCTTCCCGGTTCTTGTGCCCAGCAATCTGCCCCCACTCTCGTCTCTCCAGCCCTCCCCTCCCCTCCCTTGAATCGATTAAATTGTCGTGAGTCTTAAAGGAGGCGGGGATGGGGGAAGGTGTAAAGAGTCGGGAGAGCTCCGCGCCGGATGCAACGTATGGTCTGGTCTATCCCGGGTTTTCTCGCACCTTCCTCTTCTTTCCTTTTTTGATATACCCCCGTCTCTCAATAGTCGCCGATACGCATTCGGAACCGGACGATGATGGCTTTAATCTTTTTGCCCACTTGACTGTAACAAGGCTGAAGGAGGGGCTGAGGCAGGCGCGGGAACAACCCCCTCTTTCTCTTGCGCGCCAGAAGCTCCGCCCTCATAGAAAGGCCGAAACCCAGCGCGCGTGTTACTCGAGGATAGACGACGCAGCATTTCTCAGCGCTGAAACTCGCGCTGTCCGAACTCCCTTCTCTACTCATTTTCCCTCTCTGCCTTGTGGCTCTTCTTCCTTGATGACCTCCCGGCCTCGCGTTCCCTGGAATAGGCCCTCTTTATTGCCCCGCTCCTCCGTCCCATCCCGTCCGGCCGCTCCGCTCTCCCGCTCGTCTGTGTGACGGGCTCGCTATTGGTGCCGTGCCGCCCGAGAACAAGGTTTATCCGGGTATCCTCGCGTACGATGACCGTCATCACCGGCGTCGATCAGGATCAAAGAGGAAGAGATGCGCCGGGACGCAACTTTTCAATCACCATTAAATTGAGGGTCATAAGCGGCTTATGAATCATGCTTCGAGCATCGCATCAAACCGCTCTTCTCCTCGGTCTTCTTCATTGATATTGGTATGTATGTGTATATAGGTCTATATGAATAATAAGTATGTAAGTCGTCCGTCCTCATAGCCTGCACGCCCTCTACCCTCCCCCAAAAGGCCTGTCCGGAATCATCGTAGCTTTTGTCTCGTGCTCATCCATCCCCGCCCACCAACCCAGTTCCCGGCCATCCCAATTTTAGGGGGCCCGTCTCGTCATCTCTGCCGAGTCCCCTCCACTCCTGGGAACTCCCGCAAGACGAGGGTCGTGCACGAGGGAAAGATGGGTACCGCGTTCAGCTGATTCATCTAACAGTACAAGGGCTAGCCTCAAGTAAACAGGTAAAAAGCGTGTCGGGAAGCCTCGAAAAGATTAAAGTGAAAAAGAAACAAGAAATGTGTGTGTGTGTGTGTGTGTGTGTGTGTGGAAGAAGAAGAAGAAAGTATCGAGGGGTTTTGTGAGTGTAAAAAGAGAGATAGTTGAGGGCAAAAGTATACCGCGGAACCGGAGAGGATGAGGGAAAGACAAGATTTCATGATAGGGGACGTCAGACATCGTACAACACCTAGTTCGTCCGTAGCATCTCACGAATTAGGACTGCTCAGGCAATGGTCCAGGATCGCGTATGCGCATCGGACTGACCGTCTTCCCATGGGGAAGATGCCCTGCTCTTGTTTTCGCCGAATACATCCCCGCGTTCGATATATAATTGTTGTCTTCATCATGCGTGAAACATATCAGTACCCATTGCTAGGCAACATACAAAGTTTGCTCATAAAACTCATTGTCGTCGGTTCATAGCCGCCGAAGCGCCCGCCGAAGCCAGATCTTGTTTGGAGCTGACGCTTCGACCCGCTGCTCGGGGAAGGCCACTGGCGCCGGCAGACATGGGACCGGCGCCGGTGCTGGTCCGCTTGGTAGGGATGCCTACGTTGGACGTGTTGGTCGCAGCCGAGGTTCGCCGCGAGACGCTCGCAAAGGCCTTGTGCGGACTGACGCCGTTGCTGTCGCGTACCCGAGTCGACCCGCTATGTCGAAAGTTGGTCGGCGGCTCCGGTAGCGGGCGCCCACTTCCAGGTAGGTGATTGCTGCCCCGTTTCGCCGGCGAGTAGTCCCGGGTGGGAATGCGAGGAATCGACACCTTGTGGCCCGTGATGAACTCGTGCCGAATAGCCTCTTCCGGCTTCATCCTTCGGTCTGGATCCCACCGTAGGCAGCGGGCGATGAAGTCAAGGAAGGCCTCGTCGTCGCACTTGAGCACCTGCTGCAGCGTCTTGACGAGGGACGGCGTCGCTTGCCCTTAGACGATACCGTCAATCGCGGCTTGCCCATAGAGTCAAAGAAGAACTTCTTGCGAGTGCTCTTCTCGATGAGATGCTTCTCCGGGGGCCAAAGACCTCCATGATGCACGCGAGCTGTTCACCCTCGTTTTCTCCGGGGAAGATGGGAACGCCAGTATAGAGCTCAGCCAGGATACAGCCCAGACTCCACATGTCGATGGGCAAACCGTACGTCATACCTAGAATGACCTCGGGAGAGCGATAGAACCGAGATTGGATATACGTGTACACCTTCTCGCTTTCAAAGCAGCTCGATCCAAAGTCAATCACCTTGATTTCAGTATGCATAGGGTGTCGGAGAAGAATGTTTTCGGGCTTGAGATCGCAGTGGATGACCCTGTGCTGTTTGAGGAGATTGAGGGAGCTGAGGAGCTGCTTCGTGAATCGCCTGATGAGCTTGAGCGAGAAGCCCCTAAAGGCATTAGCTTTGATAAACTCGTAGAGATTCATGTCCAACAACTCCGTCGAGAGGCAAAGATGCCCGCGGAAGTAAAAGTGATCAGTAAACTGCACTAAGCTATACTTGTTATCAGGGTCCTAGAGGAGCTGTTAGTCCGGGCGCAAAAGTGGAGAGAGGACAGGGAAAGCTGAGGAGGGAGAGTAGGGGAAGGTATTTGGGGTTGGGTTGGTGGCTTACCCATTCGCGGAGCTTCTTAAGAATATTTACTTCGACAAGAGCCTGTTGATGGAACCGCTTTTTGTTGCGAATAATCTTGATTGCGACAAGAGCTCCCTTGCAGTGATCAATGCATCGAACAACCTGGCCGAAGCTTCCCTTCCCGAGGACGTCGATAATCTCATAGCGGTAGGCGAGGTGGTCCCCGGGAACAATGGAGTAGTCGCCGCGTTCGTCATCATAGCCAAAGTTCGGCTTCTGCGAGTGCAGATCCCCAATAACCTTACGGGCATTCTGGGTACCGCAGAAGTACACATCAGGATAGTCGATGATCTCTCCACGCTCGTAGACGTTGAGCATTGCGATGCGAATCGCTTCGTGGGGATCCACGTGCTCTTTGGGGGTTGCCCGCTTGCGGAGAGCATCAAGGGTGCGCGCCGCGATTTCCGTCTCCTTTCGGCGGCTGCCAAGCTTCCGCATCTCCTCCTCGGCGGTGATATCATCTTTGTCGAGATCTGCGGTCCACATACCGGACTGCTTCATCTGAATCGTAGAAGGTTTGGCCTTGAGGATCTTTTGCATAACAGACGAGTTGCGCGAGAGGGACAGGCGCTCAGTCGACATATCGTTGATGGGAATCTTGACGGAGATGGGTTGCGTGGTGTTGCCCCAGGTGTCTGCCTTTTGCCGGTCTACGGAAACGTACGTGTTGAGGCTAGAAGCGGAGCTCTTCCTCCGTCGCGTCTCGAGATACGTAGTGGGTACTGAAGTCTTAGTCGAGGGGGTAGGGCTGGCTGGCTTGCTCAGGCTTCCAAAGTTCGCCATTGTAGCCGAGGCAGGGAGGCGAGGAGGTGGCATGCTCTCCTGCCTCGTGTTGTACTCGGGTGGCTTGTCAACAAGGCCAGGAGGAAGGGCCAAATTGCCCTTCGATGTACCGCGCTTCCAAGAGGACAAGCTGAGCTTCCGCCGCAAGGCACTCATAGAAGAAGGAGTAGGTGGCTCTTCCGGACTCGACAGCACGGGAGACTTAGCGCTGGATTTTGCTGAAGGGGGCGGCTGGACTTGGATGCGGATTTGGCCTCGAAGAGAGACTCTGTGATGGTCGCAAAGTCCGCGCCGGTCTTGGAGCGCTTGAGATACATGTGCTCGCCGCCGCCCTGTGGTACTGACGAAGACAGGAACGGGGAAATGCTCGCCTTCCTCATCAACTTCGGGGAGACTGCAGCTGATAGGGACTCGGAGGAACTACCGGGATTCATCTCGGCGGAGCTATCAACGCGGGTGGGTTGGATAGAACTACTACTCCTCAACTGCAGCTCGGTTTTATCGGCGCGGTGGCGGGAGAAGAATGACGTCTTCGACGCCGTCATGGGAGTCGTCGGTGTCTTGGGGAGCATGCGTGATGGGGGAGGGCTCAAGTTTCCCGCCGTCTGCTCCTGCTTCCGTTGAAGCGCGGCGATCTTGGCGGCTGTAGGCGTAGCAATTGGGCCGACAATCATGGGCGGGAGGCGTAGAGGAGGCAGGTTCTTCCTCGACGATGCTACGGCATGGGGTTTCGTGCTCCCATCTCCGTTGGGAGGCTGGAGAGAGGATTTGCGAAGGCTACCCTTGCGCTGCATTTTGCCCGTGGTTTCGATCGGCAGGGTGATGGATACAGTCCCTGTCGAGTTGCTGTGGATGCTACTCGAGTCATGAGCGAGGCTCGACTTCTTCTTCTCGATGAGGCCAAGATCCATCGGCATGGTGGGCTCCTTCGGAGATTCGTAGACCTTGGGAATCGCCGGGACCGGGGAACATCTTCGTCATCATCAGGGGCCATGGGCTGATTGATGTTCAGTGGTTTGGGTGCCGGGAGGCGAGACGACGAAACTGACTGGGGGACCCTGGGTTGCAAAGATCCTATCGAAGTCCTAACCGTGTTGTAGCTATTACTTGAGCCCACAGACAAGCCCGAGCTGTACGATTTGCGGTTGACGTCCGGCGTGGTTCGAGAGGAGGAGGGTGTCGCGGTGGACTTTCGAGGAAGAACAGAAGGGGAGCGCGAAGAGGGTCGAGTGTCGGCAGGTGTACGTGGCACTGAGCCATTCGCACTAGAAACGGCGGTATGATGCATTGACATGCGCTTCAATCGCCGAGTATCCGTAGGACTTATGGTTCGAGCCCCGAGACCTGTCAGGTGGGAGGGAGATGGCATTCCGGGCATGACCGACACGCGTTTAGTCGTTGCATTAGGCGTCCCCTTCGGTGGGACGCGAGGCGATCGCGCCGAGATGGAGGCGGCTCGAGCTGCCGTGTCCGTGAGGGGAGTGGCGTTGGGTTGAGTATAGCTAGGCCTAGTCGGCGGCTGGAAGGATCGCGCCTTGGACGCTCGGGTGGCGGCGGTTAGTTGGCTCGAAACACCTGCATAAGACGCCCCGGTATCGATTGAAGTTCTCGGGAGGTCAGTAGTCAAGGTGCGATCCGAGTTGGAGGCAAGGCTAGGACGTCTACGATGGGCGGTGGCACGGGCACCATACTCGGCGTCAGTGACGCCTGGGCCAATTGACTTCCTCGGGGGCTTGGTGGCGGTGTTGCTGTTGGAGACTGGTGGGTAGTGGCTCTGGCGACGCGGTCGGGTGGATGCCGGCACAGTGATGGCATCAGGGTTTCCAGATGGGGACGTGGGACGGACGAAAACGCGGTGCCATGTTTGCTAGACGTGCTTGGTCTGCGCAGTATTGAACCAGATCTCCCAGGTCGCGTCGCTGCCGTGGATGGCGGTATGGTAGTCGACACACCTCCGCCACTACCACCGCCGCTAGCGGCTGGGGGAGCAGCAGAGGCGGAAGATGGCGGGATGACAACGCGAGTGGTGCTGCCGCTTCGCGTCACATTGGAGGGTTCGGGCATGCTGATATCGTCAGGTCGTCGATGTTGAAGGATACTACCCTGTCCGGTAGGCGAGGGAAACTGGGCAAGTTTGAAATCTGTCGAGGCGGACTCGAGGCTGCTCTGCAAGTCATCGAAGCTCACGGAAGGCAGGAAATCAAACGAGGTCGTCGCATCCCCCAGGTCGTTGGACAAGGACGGATCGTTGGCCCCCAGCGAGAAGAGCGTGTGAGAATTGGCAGGCGCGGTTCTGAGCATTGGGGCGTTGGAAAGAATACGCCGGGACGGAGGAGGTTGCGACAGATTAAGAGAATCCCGAGAACTAGACAGGCGACAACGTTAGAGCCAAGCATAAGACGGCAAGCTCCCGCTTAAGACAAGAAAAATGAGCAGCATCCAAAGGGTCGTCCAGCCCCTCGCGCTCAAGCAGCGCGGGTCAAGACCCGACAGAAAGAAACAAGAAGCAGAGGCCAAACGTACCGTCGAGTGGGTGATTGGTTCGCTGGTCGCGGTCCAGCTGGCCCTTTGTGCTCCCTAATCATAGGCAATGGTTCATAAAGGGGGACGGAGGGAGGGGCTTCAAGTCAATTTCGACGAGGCGAATTCGTGTTTGTGTCAAGTTGGTAAATTTTTCGCCTTCGCCGTGACAAGGCTCAGTCCTCGTCAGGGATCTGAGGACATCCAAAGGCTACCTCATTCCGGGGAGGGAGATGAGAAGGCGCGCGCGGTGGTCGAGGGTCGGCGGAATGCAAGAGAGGATGGGGAGAGGATTTCAACAGGTCCTCTCCAAGCCGAAACGGTGAATCCACGCGACGAGGCCCTCGGGAACGGGTCGTCGCAGTAATAGGCCCTTCCCTTTGTCTCGTCAAACTCCCTGGCTTCTCGTGCAGGCAGAGGAGGGGGAACAAGAAAAAAATTAAATCCGGGAGGGAAAACAAAAAAGGGGTGTGGTTTGGAAGTGAAGAATCGATGTAGAGACGTGCTTGTTTTTGTTCAAGACTCTCCCGCACTCAAAAGGGATGGAGCGGATGGAGAGAAGATCAATGCAAAAAAGCATCGATTCAATAGGAGCCAGGTCGTGTACGAGTGGACTGTTCAGTAACTTTGGACAAACTGGTGTGGAGAGGAAGGGGGCAAGCCTTCTGATGAAAACGAACATCCGTCGGCAAGTACCACAGTTGTACACGTCCACGGGGTGTGGATCTGACAGTTAGGTTAAAGTGAGATATCGAAGTACGGAGTTCCCCACACCAGAAGCGTGGTTTTGCAGGTACCTTGCTGCCAGCCAGTATCAATATTGGCGAATAAATTAGAAGCGCTACGTTCCTGCCTGGTTACTCAATCACCTCCCAGAGCTTTCCGATGACTGGAACTATTACACACAGACCGCACCACTTGCCTGCTGGCTGGTTTAGGGGCTTCTATTATTATTGTTATGAAAACAATCCGAGCTTCAGATGCCGCTTAGTAGGTCCACTTCTCACTGCTGCTGGCTGACCAGACTAGGCCTAGGGCTCAGGGGGTTAGGAGAGCCTTAGGGGGCGCTGGGGCTGCCAGCAAAGGGCCTCTTGATCGTGGGTTCTCCATCTCCACTCCTTACGTGTATCATTTGCCAATCCTCTCCGCCCCCAAGTGAATTGTTCTCGAACAAAAGGCGAACCGCTGGACATTGTGTACTCGATCAATGGTCTTGGATAAGTGGCCAATGCAGACACCACAGAAGCACACATCTCCATCAACGTATGCTCTGGCGGACCGGACGATATCGCCCAGTCCCCGTTTCGTTCTGTTGGCGGCGGGAAAAGGAGTTCACGGGCCAACTCTACTCTCGTAACATAGAACCTCCAGCTGCCCTGCCCACTAGCGCCTGAGTCGCAGAGCTGGTCTTTTTGCCCTCTCCCAACACGAGTCTTGCTTGTATTACACCGCTTCCTCAACTTCTTGCAGCACTAAAGGATTGGCAGTGCGATTGAAACATTCGTCCATAGCCGTGCGTCCAGGGCCAGCCACGAAGGTAGACAGCAGAACCATGCCGGAAAAGAAATGAATGCAGAGGCTGCAGGTTCAACGCGGCAAGTGTCCAATCGCTCATCGGCCGTTATAACCCTTTGCCCCCCTTCTGACGATGATACAAGTACATTCACTTGTTCGCGGCCGAGTGTCTATCGAGTCTAGGTAAAACGTTCCCGCCAAGGGCGGAGAGGGCGGGGAATACCCTACTTGCCTACGCATCCGCATGTTCTGCCCCTGAGATTGAAAATTCCCGACGTATTAGGCTACCGGCGTCACGAAAGCGCCTTTTTAGTTTGAATAGATTGGCATTTAATCCTTTCATCTGCTTAATAACAATCGCCATTGTACGAAGTACCTTCCCTAAGTCGACCTCCATATAATAATAGGCGCGAGGAAGTACACAGAAACGGACGGAGAGAGTCTCTGGACTGACAACATGTCCAGTTGGAACGTTTCGCTCCAACCCTCCGCCTCCGTTTCCATGCCGAAAATCTAATGATTCGCCTCAGGGGCAGGTATTCGGTGAGGCGCGCGCTGACAGGCCAGCGAGCAAAGGTGGACGTTTTATGAATTTTTTTCCCAGCTCAGGCCACCGTCTCATATAAAGGGGAACCCGCGTCGGACCTGTCAGTCAAGATGTCTCTCGACTGATGTCTTCGTAACCTTCTCAAGAACTGAAACATCTACATGTCCGCAGTTCCAGCTTTCACCTCCCCACACAGTTCCTCCGGCCGATGGGAGGGTACGAGTCGCACAACTCAACCCTATTTACAGAGTCGGAGTCAAAGGCTAAGGGCGTAAGCAAGAATAGAAACCAAAATGAGGATCTTAGTATGAAGCGCAGGAAAGGGGGTAATAGAAGGATTCTTTGTCCAGCCTAGACAGGCCAATATCCAAAAGCAGCGTGTGTTGTCGCGTCTAAACTGGACTGGGAAATCGAGGTGCATAGTATATGCAAGGCACGTTGCCCTGTGGATTCGCACCTGCTCGTTGGTGTGTGTGTGCGTGTGCGTGCGTGCGTGCGTACGAGTGCGTGAGTCTGGATTGGGTCATTCCAGCTTCAAAGAATCTCGAATTGGGTCAGCCATACCCTGCCCTCGATTCCGTCCGGCCCAACTCGGAGCTCCGGCAACCACTTCGCTGTCCTCTCAAGGCTCTCTCTCTCTGTCCTCTGCCTGAACCAAGACTTCCACTGTCGTAAGGGTTCTCAGAATGTGCCAGCCCCAGCGTGGCAAAGCATAATAGGTGTTTGACCCGTCATGGGCGGTCCAGCCCGAAAAACAAACCGCTCGAAGCCATTGAACTGATTGATTAGGGGCGGGCAGGTGGAGTGGTAGCCAATTATATGTACCTTCAAGTCATCCCCGTGTTGGACATGCAATTGAAGAAACAAAAAGAGAAGTGTGGAGTGAACCGTGGCGACAGAAGCATGCCTAGCCGTTTCAAGATACAAAGTATTCTCATGTCAGGCTGCGAGTGAAGCCTTTCACGAGAGGGCACATCCGGTTGTCTCTGCCTTATGCACCCAGGCATTCGTCGGAAACGGCAAAATTAATTTGATGAAGACAGGGCAAAGTCAGAATATTCCACCATGGAGGGCTTGTCGGTGGAGCCTCTGCGGTGATGGTGAAACAGTATCAACCACCAAGTCCGCAACTCCAATTTTCCCCCGGCGCCCTTCGAATCGATCCTCTCGAACCAATCACTCTATTGGCGGGGTTTGGAGGACTGGGCCAACCAGCCAGTCCCCGCTATTGATCGCAAGATGCTTGTGATCGGGAGCCAGTCATCGTTTAAAACCACATGGAGTACATGTAAATTGGGAGCCATTGGCCAGGATGATGAGTGCATGGAAGGGGGAAAGGCAACAAAACAATAAACAATCGTGTATCAATAGCGTTGTAGTCCGCGTCGTTCCCCCAAGCCCTCCAAGGTTGGTAACACAATGCAGAAGATCCGAAGGCCAGCAGCGTTATTGGAAGGGTTCCATGGTTGCTCCGTACGAGCCTCCCAGGCAACTATTCACGGCCAACCCCAACTTCCGAAACAATTCGCGTGCAGAAGCCAGCTCGTGTTTACTTGTTCTCCAGACAGAATGCCTGCTGCAGGCCGCATGAAGGAACGAAGTTGCCAAAATTACAGCCTTCTCCACTATGGCGGGCGAATTCTGCCGAATTGCTGAGAGGAAAAGCGGAAAAGAAGGTTGCCCAGCAATAAGTCGTCTTTGCCATATCCCGGGCAGGTGCCATCTTTTGGCACGTACCGGACGACCCGCGATCCGGTGTAGGGTTGGGCTGACGAAACGTAGCAAACGTCTGGGCCCGCAGGTCATCCCAAGTCCTAAAGGCGATCATATCCGCCATACAAGTGTAGCCGGATGGATGTTGTCTGGGCAGACAAGGTCGAGCCTCGCCCTACAGGTAGACTCACGCAAAGTACAAGCCGGCAAGCAGACGAGCCCTTGATGCAACGGGCCCCATGCTAGGGCTTCCCGCGGTATCTGGCTGCGATGCAAGCAAGCGACCGTGCAAGCGGGCGGCAGCTGTCCCTTGGATTAGATTATCATGAAAGCCCCTTCTTGCAGGAACCACGCCGACAGCACGCTTCGGTTCCATCATTGTACGTCAGTCTGGAAGCATGGCGATATTAATCCGCGTCTGCGCCACACGCAGACTTTCGTCGCAATAGGTGGGGAGGAGCTTGTGAAAGATGGGGGAACCGTCAATTGCGAAGACGTCTTGCCGCTGTGGGAGGGGCCGAACCTTGGTTGTTTGACTCCCTACCACCCACCCGCTCGGCAGACGAGGCCTCGACTTGAAGCTGGCATTGACAAGTCCCCGAGGCATCTTTTGGGTTGCGTTGCACTGAGCTGAGTGCCCCAGTATTACGCCGCGACCACGCTACTCTAGAAGTCGCACTGTCCCCAGCCGTGCTTTCTTTTGCTTAAAAAGACGTCACATGTGAATTTGCTTTGGGCACTGTCTTCGATACTGTATGATGCAAACCGCCTCAACCCGCACAGCGAGGAAGGCATGCTCTTAACATCCTCCTTCCCCTCTAGGCCCATCGAGATCAACCCGAGCCACCTCTCGAAGGACGTGACGTCCTAGATATTGATACCCGACTCCTGGACGAAAAGTGTCACCATCCTATCCTGTCCGTGATCCCCAGGGTCTCGAGGATCTTACGGCACCAACCACGCATTATTGAGTTCACCCATCACAAGCCACTTCAAGACCCCGGCCGCCTCGGATGCAACTGCGCCAAGGCAGTGTCTGCCGTAGGTAGGCCGCCCAGAAAGACGATATCCTAGAGTCGACATCCCGCATAGTGGGCACTTGATTATCCACATCACCTCGTCTGCAGAACACCACCATCCTCCCGGACGGACTGTCCTGCGGACCACCATGGATGAGTACACCACGAGCATATTTGTCAATGACGACGACCCCGCCCCCAACACCCGCGATCATGAAGACCCTTCGGAGGTGGAGCCGCGCGCTCCGGCGAGCAGGGGATACGAAACCGCGTAGCGGCTCTTCGTGATAAGGCTGCGATTCAGGATCGCCTCCTCGAAAAGTTTGTTTGCCCATCCCAAGACCGCTTTTTGCTCCCTTCTTCCTCTTCTGGCAACCCCCTGTGTCTATTTCCAAACCAGGATACATGCAGTTCCTTGTCTAACCGCCTTGTCTTTCTCTCCTTCAGACTACTGCAGCAGGTGATACCGCTCAACGATGAGAGCGAGTCTCAGCCGGTCGAGTTCGCCTCCGACCCCGCCCCGTCGGAGCGGCCCGAGTTCAGCATCGCTACCATGTCGGGCAACTTTCGACGCTTCAATGCGCGTATCGGGGTCATGTTTAAGTTCCAGGCGCGCGTGGGCCGCATCCTTACGTGGAGGCATTACTCCCACACCCTCTCTCTCCTGGGCGTCTATACCTTTATTTGCCTGGACCCGTACCTCCTCACCGTGCTCCCTCTCGCCATTATGATAGTAGGGGTCCTCATCCCTTCCTTCCTCGCCCGGCACCCCGCGGCGCCTAACCCGGTGCGTCCTTCGGCCGACCAGGCCCCCGCCTACTCTCCTCGCGGACCACCTCTCGCCCCGGCGATGACCGTGAAGCCTGTCAAGGAGCTGAGCCGTGACTTCTTTCACAACATGCGCGACTTGCAGAACGTGATGGACGATTTCAGTCAGGCGCATGATCAAGTTGTCGCCACCATCGTGCCCCTCACCAACTTTTCCGACGAAGCTCTTTCCTCTGCTCTCTTCCTCGGGTTGTTCCTCGGCTCCATCACTATGAGTATCGCTGCGCATCTCTTGCCATGGCGGGCCATCTTTCTCGTGGCCGGATGGGTGGCTGTTGGAATGGGCCATCCCGCCGTGACCCGCATCGTTGCCTCCATGCATAAAGCGCACGTTGAGCCACAGGTCGAGAAGACCCGCAGCTTCCTTGATACATGGATCGCTAACGACATCATCCTCGACTCTGCCCCCGAAACCCGCGAGGTCGAGATCTTTGAACTCCAACGCATGTCGTCCGCCGGCGAGTGGGAGCCGTGGCTGTTCTCGCCCTCCCCTTCGACCCGCTGTCCTACTACCGCCTTGCCGGCGAGCGACCCCGCGGCACCCGTTTCTTCGAGGACGTGGCAGCCCCGAAAGCTGGGAATGGAGCGAGAAGAAATGGGCCCTCGATCTGTGGAGCAGAGAGTGGGTTGAGGAGCGCATCATTACGGGTGTCGAGGTTGAAACGGAAGGCGAACGATGGGTCTATGACATTTACGATGAGAACGAGTCGCGCACCGGCGTCATCGACCATGGCGAATCCTCCTCTGGAAAACAGCACCTGACCGTGCCGCAACCCAGCTGGGAGGAGGCCGTTGATGGCGTGGAACGGAGGGGCCAGTGGCGGCGGAGGAGATGGGTTAGGCTCGTCAAGAGGAAGACGACGACGGGGACTTTGTGAGCGAGGGGTTGGCATCTCTCATGAACTGCGGCAACGCAACCTTGCACCCTTTTACATCTCCTTGCACTTATATTATCAATAATGAATAATGATTATGCTTTCGGAACCAGTCATCAGGTCTTATATTCCATCTTACCTACCACACCGATCCCCCAAGGCCCGCCCCCATGAAACAGGTAAACCTTTTTTGTTTGTGCCATCAAGTAGTCTCAAGACCTTCTCGCCAAGGCATGTGCATACCCTCCCCACGATTCGTGTATCTACCTACCTTGTGTCTAATTGTCTTGAGAATAAGAAGAGATGTCATCATCTCCACTGTCAAGCGCTGCCTTGGTCAGGCCAGCCAGGTGGCATGAGTGTCACAGGACAAAGATAATCAAGCAGAGCTGACGAAGAGGAGCCAAGATCGCGAAAATCCCTCCTAGTAAGGACTAGAAGAGTTAGAAAGCATTAGGTATCTTCCAAATTGAACCAAGTAGAAACAGAATGCAACTCATAACCTTCCTCAGAGAAACCCCCTCCACATAAAAAGGCGCCTCATGTCGTAACCGGAACCGGAACCGTCCATAATATACATGCAATGATAATCTCAAGATTCCCGCGGCAATTTCAGGCGTCAAGAGAACCCTACACCGTTTTCATCTAGGTGAGAAATAAGATAAAACAGAAACGAGAAAGTTTGGGGAGGTTAAGTGACAAAGAGAGGTGACCTCCCAGCCTGTCGGTAGTGCCAAAGCCTCGTCGTTCACCGAGACTAGCAAATCCCCACTGTCATCGAGGTCAAGATTAGACATTAAATAATGCCTAACTCATGACATTGGGGAAACTAGAGCCAAGAACGATTTGGCCGTGCTGCTGGTGGTGTTGGTAAGGACAATAAGTATTGATCAAATTGATCACTTGATTGCCCAGTGCCCCGCGTTGAGGTCAGAGCTGCACGGTACCCCGCCATTGAGGATAACCTCAATATTCCAAAAATGTAGGTGCTTCCATTTCAAAACTTTGGGCCCTGACGTCTTGGCAATTCGGGGTTGACATTGGTTTATTCCCTCTGGTTTCGTTGATTTCTTTTTCTTTTTCTCTTCTTCAGATGGACCATCCGGACATCTGATCGGATTTCATATAACCATTTTGTCTAGGATCCTAAGGATACCTTCCGTCTTGCCTCGGCCCTCGTCGATGCTATGGGTGAGGTTTCTAGCACGGTCGATGAGGACGTTGACAACTTGTCGCGTGTACTCGAAGCTGCCAGTGCCCTCCATATAGGCGACGGCATAGCGCTTCACATCTGGGTCGGAAGTCTTCTGGCCGAGGATGTTGATGAGTTGCAGGTTCGAGGGGTCAGACCGTATACTATGGATGATAGGGAAAGAAAATTTGCCCTCGGTCAAGTCTTCACACAGTCCTTTGTTCTGGACATACTCGGGGGATGAGAGGTTCATGTAGTCGTCGCGGATCTGGAAAATGAGGCCAATAAGGTTGACGAGCGGCACGCAGTCGACAAGAGAGCGAGACTCGGCCTGCATCAGCTTGATACCCAGACGGAAGAGGCCGCCCGTTTTATTGCCGACCATCTCTAGGTAATCCTCCTCGGTAGGGCAAGTGAGGGTGTCGCGCCAGAAGAGGTCCATCCCTTGGCCACGGTGGAGGTGGAGAAGCTCCTCTGCGTAGGTGGTGATGGCCTTTGGGTTCTTGAGCTTCTGGAGCTCCTGCAGGGAACAAAAGTATATATAATTTGCGGAATTGATAGTCTGGGCGACGCCGAAAATGTTGTGGGCTACGGGCAGACCCCGCCTCAGGGAGGAGGAGTCCTCCACGTCATCAATGAGGAGGGATGCGGTGTGGAGCATGCCTACGGCCTTTGTGATAATCTCGAGGCTCGCGGGGGGACCTCGAGCCAAGCATCGAGAGCGTTTATAAGCTGAGAGCGGAAATCCTTGCCTGGATGGGCAAAGAGGTAGTCAAAGGGGCCACAGATGGCCTTTTCCTTTTCCTGCGACCATGTCTTCTTCTTGGTGAAGTCGAGGTCCTCGTGAGCGTAGCGGGAGGGGTCGGGAGGCGGGATGGGCTGCATGTTGACGAGGAAGGAGGTGGAGGCTATCGAAGGTTTCCGGCGGGCCGTTCTCTGAGAGTGGGCGGAGGATGACTGCCAGTCGCGGTGGGAAACGGCGGCGGCGGCGAGATTCGGGAACGGCTCGACGGCGGTAGAAGGTCGCAGGCTCGAGCCGGAGGCGACGTGGCTGAGGGAGGAACTGGCGCGGTGTCGGCGGTGAGACGAGGTTCGCGGGGGATGGGGTTCGGAGAGTGGAGGAAGGAGGGGAGGGTGTTTGTGTTTGTGAAAGACATGGTTTTATAGCTTGAACGGTTTCGTTTCACTCTCTAGGGTGGCGTAGGGCGGCGCGGGCTGGTTTCAATCCTTCCTTTGGCTGGGGCGAATTTTAGTTCGCTGGCTTGGTGGGCCACTGGCACAAGCGAGGCACCCACAGGTGCACACTGTCTCTGTCCCTCTGTATCTTTCCTCTCTCTCACGCACGCGCACACGCACTCGTACACGTACACAGCTAGGCTGCGGGACAAGGAAGAGGAGAGGAGGGCGAGCAAGTCCTACGAACACAGACAAGGCTGATTGGTGCCGTATTTCGGCGAGAGCTTGCACTGTCACCTCGGGGGTGCCGTCCTTGGGGGTGGAGCGGGCGGAGCTACCACTTCCAAATTCAAGGATAATAATATGTGGCCGTCCAAGCTAGGAGCAAGGCAGCAACCCGAGGTACAAATCAGATATGTCGTAGGTTTTGGTGGTGGGGGAAGATTGCAAATGGATTAAGCATGTGTGGGTGTGAGAATGCCTAGTGGGCTGGGTTGGTGTGCATTCCCTGCGGGCAATGGTCAAGTGGTCGATCGGATGGGGCAATGGAGAGTGCACCTTCCAAGAATTAGTGAACGGGGGTTGCTCAACCTTCTTTCTGTTTTTGGTGACGACGGGGATGACGGGGATGGAGAACTTTGATGGGAAAAGGGAAGGAGGACTCGGCAAGGCAGGGAATGTAGGGAATCCTGCATCTTCTTATTCTATCCCACCCCGACCCCCTTCTTCATGTGCTTCCCCTAATGATCCTCATAGCTATGCGCCGAAAGTTCATAAACGTGTTTTGACATGCCGGAACAAGGGTGGCATCCATCCCAACCAGATCTCCATTCTTGGACGTGCGTGCGTACATCTCCAAGACAGCCATGCATACATATGCCCATGGACATAATATGCAAACCTTGTACCTGGGCCTTTTTTTTATGCATTCTCCTACCTCACCCTCAGCTCCGCCAGTGGCTGGCCCAGGACTAAACACTAAACAGGGCAAGCTCAGTGCGATACGGTTTTGTTTTCAAGCCTAGAGCAATTGATGGACGCTCAACCCCACTTGAGAGTTCGAGCACTCTCTCTCTCTCAGGGGCATGGTGGGTGGAAACGGGCATGAGAATGAGAACAACACCCTCGTCATCGAGTGACAAGCAACACGCTTATCAACGCTTGGCGGGGAATGATGGGGTCGGGCAAGAAGACAGGGTTGTGCTCACATTGAAGTCGAGCGACGACAGGGCAAAGCGTTCCTAAGGCGCCTGCCCTCTCAAATAACAGCCTCGATGCAACGGATGCGCATTGCGTCAATGGGTTGGCGTCCCATGTCATGACCCCTAGTCACCCTGGTTTCACATGTTGGTGATTGTTCTCCTCCCTTCTCGGACTAGAACACACGAAAGAGGAAAAGAAAATAGTGATCAAAGCGCGACTTGCGTGCATTGGACGTGGGATGGATCAATATGTTTCCGAGGCTTTCCGGCGGAAGAGGGTGAAGGAGCCATTGTAATCAAAAGTTGGGCAAAATTGTTGAGGGAATGCCGAGTAGGTTAGGATAAAAAGACGTCTCCCGGCATCACTCCTAGCGAAGCTCAATCTGGACAAGAGACCCTTTAGAAGTCGCAACCTTGGCCAGCCTTCCTTCGCTCCGACCTCCCAAAGAAGCCCGAGCCCTTGGACGAATCGGTGATTGATCGTCCAGTCCAGCGGGTGAAGGTAAGTGCCTACGAGTGCCTCCCTCTGCTTCCGTTGGATTGCTACGACGTATGATATTGTTTAGGGTGCAAGACCGCATAGGACGAGAGCTTGTCGCTTCACATCAATGTCCTACCGGCGGTCGTTTGCCGAGTGTCCAGGCAGCCGTTTAGGGATCGCCGCCAAATGATCCGTAAAGACGTTGATTGCAGCCCAGCCTCCTCCTTCTTACGCGTCGCCGCTGTTCAAAGAAGCCGGGGCAGGCGAGAAAGGAGAAAAGAAACCGACGCAAAAGTATGAGGGGAGGGTATGGGAAGAAGCAAGAAAACCTGGTTCTGAACTAGGCGATGATGGTACTGCAGCTTCCTTTCGCATTCATCGGGCACTTTTGCAGCGCGGACTGAAGATCCAAGGCTCCTGAACCGAGGTGTGCGTCCAGGTAACGGCAGCAGGTCGGGGTGCTCAGACAATCAACGATTCATAAACGTCGAGACGGGCGACCATGTTGCAGCGTTGCAAATCATCGAGCAAGACAAACACCAAGGGCAAGAAGAGTGGGCAAAAAGAGTGGGCAAGAAGCGTGGGCAAGAAGAGCCCAACACAGTCATGGAAAATGGCTGCACAGCGTCGATCTGATGCGAGAACGCTCGCCTAATTTTCTCGGAGTCCGTTGCGTCGGAAAGAGGGCTTGATGCCTCCGCCGATCGCCAACCATGGTCTCACATCACGAGTAGGTAGCTTGCGGGTTTTCAGTCTGGGCCGTCCCACGCAATGATTTTTTGAGAACGTCTCCTGTCATTTCTGGGGTATTAGCTCAGGCTGGCGTCCGAATTCCCGCCCGCTTTAGTAGCCCCAATCAAGACGAGTTCTATCATCAATTGATGCCGAGTGAGCGACGGGCACGAGAGAGCAGAGCTGAACTTGAAGGATGCCCATATCACGTGGGCGGTCCCAGCTGAATGGCACCCCGAGCGGTCTCAACCCTCGAAGCATTCGTCGTCAATTTGGATGATGGGAAAGAAGTATTACACCGTGATGAGTGAGTGAAACCAAGACAACCAAGAACGCCCATCGCACATCGCACGGTTTAGCATGGATGGCCGGGGCAACTGGATTGGTGGTCCAGGCGGGCCCCCAGGCGACAGAGTCTCCCTCTCTGGCCCTCCAACGTGCTGAGTAATAGTAGCAAGGCCTAATGCACCCACTTAATGCGCTGGATGGTCCTGCCCCCACACCCACAACATTCCCGCTCGTAGGGTAACTCGGTTGCCCCGCCAGTGTCGCAGCACCTAGTAAACACAATTCCACTCCTTTGGAGCAAACGCAGGAAGGAGCCAATTTAGTGTGATTTGGAGACTAGCAACATCAAGAACGAGACAAAAGACGTCGAGATACTCACGATTGCTTCGCAACTTTTTCCCTTTCCCCTCCCTCTAGGTGCAATTGCTGTTTGTCTTTCTTTCTTCTCCTCTCCATCTTTTGATACCCTGCACTTTGTTTTTTCCCTTCCCTTTTAGCTATGCTTCTATCTTAATCCCCCAGGTCATCCTTACTACACTCACTCGTTTATCCAAGCTCCGTGTTTATTTCGAATCCCTAAGCCCCAGGATGCATTATCAATACTGGCACCTTTAAAGACAACTCTTCTTTTAGAAGATTCACATCTTCTCCTCCTCGTTTCGACAACTCGTGTCACATCCTAGGACACTCTCCTCCCTTCAAGTAAGAAGGCACCAACTCAACTCTCCGGCTCGCGGCTCACCTACGATCTGCCACCACATCAACCAAGGAAGCCAGAGCAGAAACACTACAAGCAGCACATACATAATTCATAGATTCATTTTCACAATGGAAGCCCTACTTTCTCTCGCATTCGATAACCTCTCTTCCTACGACGGCCCCAAGATTCGCAAGGGCCTACGCCAAGTCGAGGGCCTGCTGGCCCAGATCTGTCTCTCGCGCCCCGATGACGAGCACGAAAACGGCTTGGATGGCAACGAGGCCTCGTCACCTTCCACCCCACGCAAGAAGAATCTCTCAGAGCTCTCTGCCGATCCCGCCTTCCGCGAGTTCTTCAAGCTCCAAGAGGGCTTTGAGTGGAACGTCACCATGCGCCTCATCAGCACCCTGGATAGACTCATGGGACGCGGTTACGACAATGGCCAGAACGACCTGTTGATTCTCAGCACGTTAGACCTTCTTCAGGGAACTCTGCTTCTCCACCCCCTAGCAAGGCGCTCTTCTCGAGGGAGCAGAATATGAACGTAAGACACCCGCAATTCTCCACCCCGACCCTCGCCAAGTCTGTTGAGCGAAGCCACTAACTTTTGCTCTCTCTCCCCAGCTACTACTTGATCTCTTGGAACCGATCAACTGCCCGGCCATCCAATCCGCCACCCTTCTCGTCCTCGTCGCCTCTCTCATCGACACGCCCCGAAACACGCGTACGTTTGAGGCCCTCGACGGACTTCTCACGATTACTTCCCTCTTCAAATCCCGCTCCACCCCGCGCGAGGTCAAGCTGAAGCTTGTCGAATTCCTCTACTTCTACCTCATGCCCGAGGTACCTTCCATTCCCAAGGCCGACGCTCGGGGCTCCGTCCCTGCCATGTTACAGCGAAGCCCTAGCAAGCTTGCGGGGCCTTTGGCGGGGCGCTAGCAAGCAGACCTCCGACCTAGACAACACCCTGACGACCGAGGAGAAGCAGCATATGCTCGGCCAGCACCTCAGCAGCGTCGAAGACCTCGTCAAGGACCTTAGGGTGTGCACGCCGTTTGGGGGCGTCGTCAGCTAAATCTACCCCGACTCCCTTTGGCTCTTCGCGGCCAACTCCACACGTTGCCCCTACCTTTGGGTTCCTTTGGAGAGTTTACAAGCAAACAACAACGATATCGGAGTAATCAGACTAACAGAGGCAGTTCTGTGGAGTTTGATTCTCGTTGCGATTTTTATACCAAAGAAATCGCTTCATGGGGTTCTGCGTGGGTGGTATACTGCATCAACCTTCGATATGCGACCACGCCCGTATTTGTATCACTAATAACGCTGTGCTCTCTGTCTCATTCTCATATTCAAGGCGTTCCAAGTTTCTTCTTGTTCTTTTCTTTATCTTCTTTTCTTATCCCCTCTGTTTCTATTTGCCGGGGTTTATTGGTCATGTTTCGAGGGTTTGTTCTTTTGCGATGAGATTTCCGATGGAACCAAAATTCATATGTACAAAGGCGTTAGACTATAGACAGGCTTGACAGGAAATTGACTTGATCTGATTACACAAAGGGAACGAGAAAAGGCAAACAAGGAAAACCAAAACAAACGCAAAAAGGGGCAGAGACATTTCCATCGTCCAGGTGAGTTTTCGTGCATCATGTCATCATAAAATCATTGAAGGGAAAAAAAGAATTGGTGAAGATGAGGGAGAAGAATAAACAGGCGCCAGAGTGTTCGCAGTGTTCTACGGCGGGGTTTTCAGAGGCGAAGACACCTCGGATTGCGGTGAAACAATGGGCGGCGTCTCATCGCTCGGGAGGCCTGAGCCGGGACCTCGGAGCCATACAGTTCCGCGCGGTGTTCGGGCGTCTCCGGCGTGAGGGAGACAAAAGGCGGGGGTGTTAACGGAGTCGGAGCGGCGGGGTCGTCGTGGGGCGAGATGGCGGGCCCGACGGCTTTGGAATCGATCTCCACGGGTACGGCGATATCGTCAGGCGCCTGGGGTTGGGCCGGCACGCCTCGGTCTCGCAGGCCGGGGGCCAGCCCCCGTGGTCAGTCAAGGGCCCGGCCACGGCATCGGGGCCAAAGTAGTCCCTCGTAAGGCCGGTCGGACGAGGGTCGGGGAGCCGTACACCTCCTCCACGAACTCTTCCTCGCCGCTAGACTGGGCGGCGGCAGCGGCGCGGCACGACGTCGGCGCGACAGCCACAACCACGTGAGGCTCGCGGTGACGGCCGAGACGCCCACGGCCACGCCGGCGCCGATGCCGGCCTTTGCGCCGTCGGAGAGGGAGGCGTCGGCGCCGTTGTTGTCGTCGTCGTCGTTACCGATGACGGTGATGGAAGGGCCCGGGGCGCAGACGGGGAGCCGGAGAGGCTGGTGCAGACTTGCCAGACGTCGCAGCAGCCGAGGCCGTCGTCGCAGCGGTTCTGGCTGGTGGTGCAGCCCTCGGGGAGAGGGGTGGCGCGGGGCGCGGCCGAGGTGGTTTGGGTGGATACGCAGACGGAGCCGGCGCAGGCGTGGTCGTTGGGGCAGCACTGGCCGCCGGCGGAGGCTTCGCAGCGGTAGAAGCCGAGCGAGGTGCAGGCGCGGGAGCAGCAGGCGGGCACGAGCGAGGTGACGGTGGACCCGGCGGTCACGGTGGAGGTGGTTTGCGGGCAGTAGTACTGGGAGGGCCCGCAGGTTTTGTCGCAGTTTTGCTCGAGGGGCAGCAGCGGGCGGTGACGGCGGCGTGGTCGACGTAGCAGTAGCGGTCGTTGGCGCAGCAGGTGTCTGCGAAGCCGACGTCGACGCCTGTATCGTGGTTAGGTTAGCGGGTTCTGGGGGTGTTTAGATTCGGAGGGAGGGGGAAAAGGGAAGTGGTGAACACACATTGATGTTGGCCAGTCTCGCATTTATTCTGTCTCCCTTGTAGAGTGGGCCGCGGATCGCCGAGGTAATACCTGGGCATGAGAGTTGGCCCGGGGAAATCAACTTGACCGTACCCTTGCGCTGAGGCCCAGGAGACAAAGGGTATGAGCAGGATGAGGGTTCGTACTGGGTAGCGGCTCATGGTTGCAGATTGGCCTCGGGGGCTCTCTCGCGCCGGGGGTTCATGTTCGATGGAGATGGGCTGATCGGGACCACACAGAGGACGTTATGGTAATGAAAAAGGTATAAACCCAAAAGTGCCCCCGAGTGAAGCTCCTACCAGCATAGGACTCCAAACACAACGGGTTTACGTAGGGTCGGACGACTAAGTATAGTTGGCCAAGATGCGTAATTGCCGCTTCGTCTTCAATAAGACGAGCGATACATGCCGGAGCGTGCGGAATTTCTCGCTTCAGGCCGACGGAGGCCAGGCTGCGCAGAGAGAGAAAATGAATATTTCAGGGTTTGGTCGCAGTCGACGGCAATTCTCTGAACCATTCAGGTTGGGTACAATTCACCTGTCAAATCTCATTCTCGGGGTCGGTGGGACAGCAAGAGCGAGAAAGAGAGGTGAGTGAGGGCGGAGTGAACAAGGGGGAACGAGACGGTGAGAGATGTTTATTATCAGCTGTGGGATTGAGGACAAGGCTCCCTTTGCTCACGTCGGGCCGGATACCACAGACAAACCCCCGAATGGGGAAGCGGGCTCGCAGTTCAAATCCCAATTCGAACCATCCACCGAAGGATCCAATGTTGGCAAATGTCGTTCAGCTGGTCAGACAAACCTGCACAGTTCCAGCTGGGACAAGTGGAGGGCCGGGCTAGGCCATGCCACCCACACATGCGCGGTGCATCCACAAAAGGGCCAACGGCTACCGTATCCTATCGCGGCAGGGGAGGAGGCGACTTCTTGTAGGGACGGAAGACGTGAGAGAGAGAAGAGAGGGGAATACTGGGAAGGGTGCGTGGCTGGGCTGAGGCTGGCCGATTGGGGAGTGCGACTCGACGGGAGACATTGCCCCATGAGTTCTTGCCCGTCAGCATCGCAGGAAACCATTCCGTCTGGGGCTGCAAGAAGCACGAATGCATGTGGGAAGCAAGGATTGGCTGGGCGTTGGCTGCTTCCCATGTGCCAACGGAGGAGACCATCCAGTGGGGGAAGAGGGCAGAGGGCACGCGGACGACGCAGGATTTGGCCATGAGCGAGAGAAGCTATATTCCATTCGTCCTTCCAGTCCAACGATGGAGTATTCCTCGACAATATTAGACAAAATTATTATGTCTATGTAGTGAAAAGAAAGCTTCCACTTACAACCGCCTCAATTCATCAAATCCGAAGTGGGCAATTAACAGTCCAAACCAGCGTCGAGGGTCGCTCGCCCCACTACAACTACAAAGACACAAAGCACGGACGCCAGCTCTGCCATTCAAGGGTCCCGCTTAGTCATGCTTCCATCTTCGCGCCTCCCAAAAAAAGCTCTAGCTTGGCACTGCACCTTTGATTTTCAACCCGCTTCCCCAGACTCGAGCTCCTAGCTGCGCGCCTTGCCGTCACATATACCCCCACCCCTTTTCTTCTTCCTTTGCCAAGGCGACCAATGTGAAAAAGAACTGTCTCTACCTCGGTATACCTCTTTTATTTTTCCTTTCTTTATCCTTTTCTCCTTTCGCGCCTTACGCAAGCACCACACCTCCCCTTCCCGCCATGGAAACGACCGAGCCGCCCCCGAGGCCCAACCCGGCACCGCCCCCGTCGCGCCCGCGACCTCCGCCTCCGCCGTCCCCCGCGCTACGCAAACCCGTTCGCCGTCCCCGAACCCATCCGCCGCCTCTTTAAGCGCTTCCCCTCCACACCACCCCGAGAACGAGCTCCCCGCGCGCTGCGCCGTCGCCGCCGAGCAACTCCCCGTCCTCTTCGTCTTCGCCAGCGACGAAGCCGCGCGAGCCGGCGCCCCGAGCCACAATCCCGCGTGTCTAAAGTGGCAGGTGAGATTTCTTCCTTTTCCTCTCCCTCCTCAACGTCCCTTCTTTCTTCTCTCCCCGCGCCCTCAATGCTGACCCCAAACCCCGCCAGACCTATCTCAAGATGGCCGCCATCGACTTCCTCCTCCACCCATCCAATAACCACGCCTCCCCACCGGCGCCCTCCCTTTCCTCCTCACCCCTCTCAGACCGCCATCCCTTCCTCCAAACTCTCCACCTACGTCGCCACCAGCGCCCAACCCCCGCCGTCCCCGCCCGCGCCGAGACCTACCTCTCCCTCCTCGACTCCGCCCTCCGCCCCGCCTACCTGCACGCCCTCTACCTCGATCCCCGCAACGACCCCCTCCTCACTTCTCTCTACCTCGATCCCAACCTCCCCGGCCCCTCGCCGCCGCCCTCGCCGCCTCCCTCCGCTCCGCCGCCGAGGAAGAGATCCTCGCCTCCACCCGTCGCCGCTCCATCCACCCCCACGCCATCTACCCGGCCGCCGGCCAAGCTCGCCGCCCTGGCCGATGCCTTGCACGCCTCCGCGACTCCCTGGTTCTTCGGGAGGACGCCCCCACCCTCTTCGACGCTGCCGTGTTCGCGTACACAAACATGCTCCTCGACGAGAGCCTCGCCTGGGGCGACCCGAGGCTGCCCAACTCGGTCCGGGAGTTTGACGCCCTCGTGAGGCACCGGGAGAGAATCCTGGCGAAATACTGGCCCGGGCTGATTCGGGACTAAGAGTGGGAACACCAACCTTGTAAAATGTGTACTAGCTCAGGAGAGCTCTGTTAAAAACGGGGGTGCTCACAACATGATGACGAAACGGTGAGGAGGAGGGGGAGGAAGAGGGGAGGAAGAGGAGGAGGAGTGCTGCCTCGCGGCCGTGGGGCTCTGGCGTTCTTATCTATCGGATGGCGCGTCTCATTCTTTGTATACTACTACTTTTTTATGGGTGCAACGCTCACCAGGTGACGAAGAAAAACAACAACGGATACGATAGACCACAATATCACATAGACTTTCATCACTATCCATCTTGAGTGTTCATTCGCTTGATAACGCTCACTCGCTAAGAGAAACAGCAATCACAGAGTGATGCGGCAGTATAGCTCGTGCTCGTGATGGCGTACAAGGCTATCTGTATCTACACTTACAACCCAAGACTGAGGCTAAATCCGAACCACGAGGCATGAAAGACAAGCGGAAAAGAGAGGGATGGGAGTGAGAAAGAGGAAAGAAAAGGAACGAAAAGACAGGAGAGATAAGTAAAAGAAAAAAAAAAGTAGAAATGTGGTAAAAAAAAAAAAAAAAAAGAGACAGAAAAGGAAGGAAGGGCTAGACGTTCGATAGCGGAATTTGCTTCCCAGTCTCACCAACAGAAAATCCCTTCGGAGGCGATACACCATGAACACCTTGCACAAATGCACCCTCGAGCCTTTATCCTCCTCTCTAAATTACCCACTTACAAGGTAAGGTAAACCCCGAGAATCAAGCACCATTCTAAAGAAAACAAGACCCCGCCCACGACATCCCCCTTGAAACCTCTGCTCCCTGTTCCCTACGCCCTGCTCATTCACCCGTTCAACGAGGTGAGCGGTAGACCAACATACTAGGAAAGATAGAGGCCAAGTGTCAGCCTTCCTGGCCAATCCCTTTCACAGCCAGCAACATTCCACAGCTAATCGAGAACACCATTCCTTGTATCCGCGCCATGGCCCCAACAGCCAGGTTAGGCCCCGTTGATATTGCGGAAATGTTACGGGGAATGCCAACGAAAAACTGTGAGAAGGTATGGAGACGGTATTAGAGAGGAACAGTCGGCAACAATATCCAAAACCGTGCACACACCAGCTCCAGTTACGCCACGTCTAGTACCCGCGTCGTTGACTTGTCCCCGCAGAACCAAAAGAGGCAGGATGGACGTACGGTGTCAAAAGGCAAAGTTCGTCCGCGCCACGGTTCCTTCTGGAGAAATCTAGCGATATATTGAGCTGGTGATGTCACGCATGGAGAAAAAGGCACCCGGTCCACCCCTCCCTAAGGTCGCGGACGAGGTCACTTGTATCCTCATACAGTTTCGTCAGGTCGGCACTTGATGACTTGCCAAGGGACACTGTCAAGTCTAAGTTAGCCAAGGTTATGCTTGCGGCAAATCGGGGGTTTCATTCCCACAGGGGCCAAAAAACAAACAAGGATTAAAAGAACGAGGGGGGCAGAAAGAAAATAAAGGGAACACTTACAAAGAATCCGAGAGTTGACCATCTCGGCCGTTGTGGCTCGGTTTTTGTTGTCCATGAGATGGGCAACCTTTGGTTCCCCGAGCGGGTTCGGGTACGCCATCAATGACCAAATGTCCTCTAGAGTCTTCCCAATCTCCTTCCTCGGGTCGTTTCGGTACTCGGCCTGGAGCTCTTGGCCATATTCGAGCATCTCCTGCTCGAGTTGTTCCACTTGCTCCCGCAGGTCGCTGTCCTCGGTGTCCATGCTCTCCCAGTTTCCATTCTCTACGCCATTTGAGTCCAGCTCCATGGCTTGAAGCCCATCTGCGCCATTAGACCTTTTCCCCTCGTAGTGGAGTCGCATCTCCGCTGACCGGCGCACCATCTCGATGAACCGGCGGCACTTGAGACGCAGGTGCACAAAATCATCCTCCTCAAGAACATTGGGATAACACGAGTCGATGAGGTCCAACGCGCGATCGATGTCCCCTTCTAGTATCGCCCTACGTATCCCTACATGGAAAAAAACCGCGGTTAGCACAGAGCCCAAGGAAGGTGAATGGGGTCGATTTGAGTTGGTTAACACTTACGTTGCCTGTTGGTAGCATCTTGATCGTCCCTAACGTTAATGGGACCAACAGTCTGATTCCCAATGGCGAGCGCTTGTCGCTCTGCCTCAATCTCCTCGGCAAAGGCGCGGGCTGTTTCAACATATCCATCGTGCTGGAGGAATTGGAGGACCTAGACGAGGTGGTTCGTTAGAATTGCGCACTTTTCATGTTGAGCTATAGGAACGAGGGATACGTACAAGCGACTGGATGAGATCTGTTTCGTTCATTGTTACTGGCTCACCTCCGATCCGTATCTCAAGAGATGACGGACTCGTCTTCCAAATCTCGTCGTGGATTCGTCGTTTTTCGCGCTGCTCAGTCGTTGCAAGTCAGAAACCCAAATCATCAAGGGATTCCTACCACATTGCGAGCCAAGTGTCGCGGTTTGGGAACAGGAGAATGAACATACCGCCATCATGCCGTCAATATCAAAGACAAAGGGGATCTGGCCAAAGTTGACCCGGACATGTTCCCCATACTTTTTCAATCCCACAGACGGATATAGTTTTCCTTTAACGTCTTGAAAGGCGGCACCTATACCTCGGGTTAGCATCCAGAACCCTAGAGAAGTGATGGTGATGAAGGAGCATCAATCAAACTAGCAGAGGGGGTGAGAAAGTCACATACCAAGATTGTCTCCATTTCTCGTGAAAAAGATGTAGCCAGCATTGAAATTGACACCACAGCCGACGACATCGCCTGCCGTGAACTTCGGACCGTATACCTTGCCCGAATTATTGTTGTTGAAGCACTTCCCATCGTCACCATGGTATCCCCAAGACTCGGGCTCCCACCCGGGCGGTCTCGACAAGTTGACGTGCTTTGTAGAAAACCCGACTCCAATCGTTGTGCTAGATCACACATACACGTTAGCAAGAATCGACCGAGATTCGGGCACACGTCGTTCAAAGTTATCCGCCCGTTTCTCTGTGCTTTGTCTATTTCTTTCTTTCTTTTTAAAAAGAAAAGTCGGCACCATCTTGTTCGCCGTCCTTCTCTTCGCTACGCAAGGATTATGACTGGTAGTGTACGACTTACTCATCTCTCTTCCCGTAGGTGATGGTCACCTCGTAGTAATAAATTCCGCACTCTGGGGGATGGGGTGGTTGGCTCGGATCGATGCCGTCTCCAGGTCGTGGCTCGGTTTATGGGAGGTGTAGCGAACCTCAACCCCTTCGCTCATGACGTCGATGCCGCTCCATTTGTCCGTCTTGCTCCACCTCGTCGGGAGGGGGCACGCTGCCGGGTTCCTCCGGCGCCTCTGGCTTCTCGATAATATCAAATGAAGAGGGCTCGCCCTGTGGTGGAGGTTTGCTGTGTATGCTACCGTTTGTGGTCGAGGTAGACGCGGCTAAGGCGGGTCCGGGCTGGGGCTCCTGGACCCTAGCGTCTCGGAGGGCCATGAGCCTCGCTTGGTGGGCGTCTTGCAGCTTGTGTGCGTATGCGGTATCTTTGAGGTAGGAGGGGATGAAGAAACCGTCTTGCTGGGGCGGTATGGCGTCGAGGAAGGAGGGGAGGTGAACATTTCAAAGGCGCGGGAGAATAGACCCAGCTGGGCCTGGCGGCCCGCGGGCCCCGCGCCCTGGCGACCAGAGACGCCGTTCGACACCGAACTATATCTATCGTTGTCCATGTTGGAATTACGCAAGGGGTTGTGGGAGGAGGCGTGGTGGGCAGGGGCAGGGGCGCCGGTGCTGGGGTCCGACGTCATGTCCGGCTCCTGCTGGAGGAGCTGGGAAAAGACGTGGGTTCGGGCAGGGTGGTTTAAAAGTGGTTCCTTGTAGAGGAGGTGAAGCGATCGAGGTATACGAGAAGCGCTGCGAGTTCCAAGAGTGTTCAGCGGACAAGTCGGAGTCGGTCGGGTGAGGGTTCGTCATTATGAGGGGTCGTCTCGGAAGTTGCTAGGAGGAGTAGCTGGGACAAAGGGGAACGCCCGACCGTAGCAACCACCCAGACACTAGGCTCCTCTGGCAGCTTCTTCAGGGTAAATCGGCGGGCATACAAATCTCTACGTCGGCACACTAGGGGATATAGAGGATTACGGAAAATATTGTCGCATGGGAAACTGAGCCCTGCGAGTCGAGGAGGAACAGCTAGCTTCGATAAACGGAGGTGGTGTTGTAAGGAAGATAAGAGGCTGGTAGCTGCTTAGTTAATCCTGAGGATGGGGGAGGATTGTATTGAACCGTATGCGTATGGGGTGGTCAGGGACTGCCCGCTTGGGGGTGTACGGTGGCCCAGCCAGCCCAAAATGGGCCCAGATTTGATGACATAGCCAGCACCAGCGCTGAGGGTTAGCTGGCCCATAGCGCCCATGTTGTGTGGTGTACATCCATTCAATTGATCATTGCCATCCCGCTGGGCGTGCCTTAAATGCTCGACGATTTCAGGCATTGACAATTGCCACGCATTTGAACTTGAGGAGGGTCTGACGATCATGTGCCAGACGGAGTGCTAAATCAACCCAACAAACAAAGGCATTGATCTAGCTTGATCGTATAGATATAATATATCCGATGGATCCATTGATCTATCTACTCCATAGATCGAGGGATATCGGCGTTGACCAGCAACGGCTTACACGCACAAGCTAGTCAGGATTGACCATCAAGCCACGATTTGCTAAAGGAATAGGAGCAACCATGGAATCTAACGATGCTGCTCCCTACTTCCTCAATCGTGGCGATCAGATGAACCTGGTATAAATCTAGCACTGGCAGATGGGTGTCTTTCCCTCAACCAGGATTGTTGGATCTCGAACACCTTTTGTCATGGCGACACTTGGACTAGCGATCCCATAATATTCCGTTCCCCGCCCTCTGCGTTACGAACGTGTACAAGCGACAAGCACCCGAGCCCAGCCGCCCTTGCCCCTTGTCGTGTCGTCCCCGCCTCCACCAAGCGCCACTTCCCACTTTTTTGTTCCGTTCCGATCGACCCCTTCAGATCAAGCAAACCCAACGGCGCCAACAGAGAGAGAGAGCCTGAGAGAGAGAGAGAGAGAGGCCTGGGCAGTACTGTCAATCTCTCCGGACCTGAGGATCCTATCCCAACGGGAAAAGTAGCGAGGTAAAAGGGACATTCCACCAGTTCATCGACTGTCAGATGTTGACAGGCCCGCTCGTTGTTGCGTCCTTTCTCTCTCACCTGCAAAGTTAGCGTTTGCGCTTATGCTCCTGCAAGGACTTTGCGCGTCATGCCACCCATAGTGTCGAGCATCACATCCATCCATAGATCTTTATTCATCGACGTCAGGAGCAGGTTCCAGTCCCGCATCTCATTGTTGTCTGCGTTTGTTTGGTCAACTCCACGAGCAAAGGTTTGAGGAGGGGCAATCTATAGCTCAGCTCGTTCCGTCTTTCCGTCATGCTCGCCCGTTCCCATCTCAGGTCATCACCCCAATGTAAGACAACATGGAAATGAATAATACTTGTAGATGTCGCGCATCCTTGGGAATCTTGCTATTCCGTAGGAAATGGAACAACCCAACTCAAGGCCCGCGTTTTCACCCAATTTCATTCCTAGTTTACGGGCTAGGAGAAGGACAAGGACAAGAAGGCCCCGTAATTCCTCAAGAAGCTATGCTGTACATGTAGAGTTCGTGCTTTGCTTCCTTGGGCGCCTTTCCTCAGTGCCCTTTATTTGGTGCACCAAGGTCAGGAGGTCACCTCCACCCCCTTCCACCGCTGGTCTACCCGGGAATACACAAGGGATTTCTTTTTTTTTTTTTCTTTTCTTTTCTTTTTTTTTTTTTTGAACCCTCCATCCCCAAACTTAGACTAGTTTTACAAGTAGCACACTCAGATAGCCGTCCCAGGTCCGATTTGCAGAGCGGTGAGCTAATTCCTCCCAGCCACTCTTTGTCTTCCCCTGCCTTGGCCTTGAGAGTTGCGTGATGCAGCCAGCCCCCTTTGCCCCTCCCAGTGCTGAGGAAAGCAAACATGCACTGAGAGTAACTTGGAGTGTCGAAGTGGCTTCCCAAGATTTCACGGATTCGCCGGCAAACCCTACGCGCAGTCATCCGGGGCCCGAATGGTGTCAATCTCGAGCGTGCGAGTCACCCGATACCTTTCCAAATGAAGGTGGTACCCAAGCCAGCCGAGCCATCAATATTTGGGGAGAAGGGGGAGAAAAATGAACCTATAGGGAGCCATGCATGAACTATGAGTTGTCCAACGTGAGTCAAGCCAAACACATAGGTGAGTTTCGCCCCGACAACCACGACTTTGCAGATTCGACTCGGCCGGAACTTTGAACAAGAGATCGGACTCGGGAATGTCGTGGTCACGTGCACTTGCTTTACATGGCATCGTCGTCTGGCACGGGCCGCCTTGGGCTTTGCACGCAGCTCGTCAATCAGCTATCCCATTTAGTGAAAGTCGTGACGCTGGAGGGGGTGAACTTGGTATCTCACAAGCCATCGTTGGGAGTCCAGACTCCAAGTTTACTGGAACCTTGACTTCGAATTCTCGTCGCGCTTCTTGGGGAAACCAAAACATCGGAGCCTGTCGTCATCAAGGCTGCCCTCCCCCAGCTGTCTGTACAACCCCAGGCACACCGACGATGGCAAGATCTCGCAAGCCGTTTGTTGCACATAGGGGGACAAGAAGAGGGAATAAATCAAGGTTTCCAAGTTAGCTGGCCTGCAACACACAGTACGTGCGAGCTTACTGTACAATAACGCGATAGAATTACACTTGTCAAGTAAACCCCTCCCAAATAACATCCATGGATGAATAGAATATCCCATTCCCTAAACACTTCCCGTGAACACTCCCGTGAACAGTAACCGTTGGTTTTTCGCGCCGTTTCCCATGCCTAGTCTCGTTTACCGTAACGCCCGTTTCCTGCGACGGCCTTGTCGCGAAATTCAAGAATGTGCAAAGAACTCGATAAAAAAGGAGCAGTAACGCGAAGATGGTGAGGAAGTAAAAGAAAAAGAAAGAAAAGAAGGAAAAGAAAGAAGCCGGGTTCGCTAGGAGAAAGCGAATGCTGCGCAGGGGCGTCATGTCCCGTAGTACTTGTACTTGTGGCATCTAGGATGCAGCCGCGACAGGGACGGGCGCAGGCGAACTTGGTGCCACGCCCTGCATTTCGACGTCCTGGGTGTCATTGTCCACGCCGTTTGGAGTACCGTTCATGATGCCGTTTGGCGTCTCGCCATCGTTTCGAGCGGCCTTCTCTTTCTTCTTCTCCTCCTTGTCTTTCTTCTTCTCGTCCTTCTTGGAGCCGTTGGTCTCAGGCTTATCTTCTTTGGCGCCTTCCGTCGCAGGCACATCCGCAGCCTCGCCTTCCGCTTTGCCCTCTTCGGGGCTAGGCTTTGTCGGCGCCTTCCACCTGCTTATCTCCCAAACCACACCGGTGAAGCTCTTGAGCTTGAAGGAACCCTTGGCCCACTTCCGGCAAGGCTTTCCCGATCGGTCGAGGGCCCTAAGGCCGGCATTGATGGCGCCTGCGCTTGCTTTGGGTCCGAGCTTGTGCGACGCGTTGCCACGAGGTCCGGCGAGGGGATCGTCGTCACTAGAGCAAAGAGAAGGACGTTAGTCAGGGATTTGCTAGGATAGGGTACACGTGGGGGCAGAGGAAAAGGATAGCATACAGTTTCGCCTTCTTCTTCGGGCCGGGCTTCCCCCTCGCCTTAGGTTCCCCATTTGCGCCAGCCGCACGCTTAGTGCCCTTCTTCCCCGGAGGGCCCATAGCGGACGGCCCCGGGGTGCCTGGATTCGAGTCGGAGACGTGCTCTCCGTTTGCCTGCGTAGCAGGTTGACTCGAGGCTGGCGGGGTGGATCCGTTAGCTTCCGGGGTGTCCTGGGCCTCCTTGGAATCAGCGACTTCCTTGGGCTCGGCGGCAGTCTTCGAATCGGTGGCGTCCTTAATGGAGGTTGTGTCCTTTTCTGGTGAGTCTTCCATTTCCGGTTCATCGCTTGCTAGTTCTCTTAGCTTATCGGGAGATACCTTGACAGTGACGACGAATCCGCCCTTGTAAGTTCCAGATTTCCGAGCTGGCGCCATTGCGATCGCTCAAAGGCGGCTGGCCTGTTGTTGGATGTCAAGATTTCGGGCAAAGAAGGCCGAGGCGCGACAAGGGCCCGGGGTGGATGCTCCAGATAGCAACCAGGTCCAAGGGTCGCCGAAAGAGAGGGAGGGTGGATATGGACCGGAGGACGGGTAGTCAGACGCGACGGTTGCGTGGTCTCGCGGATCGGTGGATACGATGGCAATGGGAGGTAAAACGTGGTCAAATTTGATTTTGCTGATGTAGTCTAGTCGCTGTGCAGACCCTGATCGGTGCTCAGAATGGTGGTTTAGCAAAAGAAAGAAAATAGAAATAGAAGGAGGCAAAAAAACAAGCTTGGGCCTTCCAAAGCGTTGATTGTTGAGGATGACAAGTGGGCTCGAAGAAAAGCGATAGAGGAAGAGGAAGGGGGAGAAAGGAGAGAAAAGATGGGAATTATTAGGATGGATCAGGATGGGTTCAGATGAAATCGGGACGAGGTGGCGGCATTATTGGGGGAAGGGTATTGTGGAGAGCGCGTTTTAGGTCGAGGTGCTGGAGCGAAGCTGGTCTCTTGGGTGAGAATTTCGCTTTGGAGGAGGTACCCTTGTACTTCTTCGGTGATGGTGATGCGAAGAATTCAAAGTGTATTATAATATTTTAGGAGGTGAAATTAAGCAGTTGACGATGATGGGAAAGTCAAGAGAAAGCGGGTGCGATCATGCGGGAGCGACTGAGGCCTTTCAATGGGTTTTGTGCCTTTGTTTCATTTTGGGGCCCCTTTTTTGTTTTTCATTTTTGAGTTGGTCACAATCCCATCAGCGAGGGTGAGTTGAGGGTGCGCAGCGGCCACAATCTAGGGTGGACGGGAGGCTTCACCACGGACAACTCTCTCCAACCAAGAGAGGACGGCGGTTTCGGTGCGCATCGCTCTGTTCCCCAGGAAATGGTCCGAAAGGGGCTTAGGCATGGCACTGAACGCCGCACGGGGCTGAAAGTCGCGTTCGCTCGTCTTTCACAGAACAAAGTTGCTATTGTCTGTTGCCAGGTGCAGTTAGCTGACAATGTTATATAATCCACATAGCGGGCCATTGTGCTCGTGAGTCAAGGAGCCAACTGTTCCTATGCTGCTTAGAGTAGGAACGAATTCATCCCCAGTTGCATATTCAACTGGATCATCGGAGTCTCGATATGAATGAGAAGAAGGAGCACGGGGAATACGAGGGCAAGAACTTGCAGCAGCCGAACCGGAGACGGCGCGACGCAAAAAGAGAAGAAACAAAAGAAGAAGAAGAGGCAAAAAACATACAACACCGGGGATTCGCTGGTCGTCACCGACCCAACTACTAGTCCGGCGCTTCGCAGCTTGTGTACAGGGGAGCGGACGGGACCCTCAATTATCTGCGAGCTATGGTCGTATGTACTATGCTTGGTTTGCAAATCTTCTTATATTGGGAGGTGCCTGCCAGTTTCGCCCACACACCTCGACCTCTCCTTTCGTGGACAACGCGAAAAAGGCAGCCCTTTCTAGAACCTATCCTACATTCGGGCTTGCCTCACGGCGCTGATCTCGTTTCCCTCTTATTCCATGACTTATTGAACAGCCCAAAACACACCTCGCCCTGTGGCAGCCCTCCCACCTCACATTGGCGAGGCGTCATTGGCTTCAGGTTGTGCGGTTCCTCAGTTAGCCTGGGGAGGACTTTGAGCACGTTGTTGCGGCCAATGTTTGTGTAGTCATGTTGGTTAATATTGGGCCAGACGTGGTCATCCCACCAAACTGCGTGCGTCGGTGCTTGGTTAGTACAAACGAAGACGTAAAGTCCTGTGGGGCTTCCTAAACCTACCGCAAGCGTTCGGGATGCTCTCGAAAGGATAGTCGATCGAGAACATGATAGAATGGGCGCCTATCTCGCCAATAGCAAACATGAGCGCAGAGGTCGAGAAGTGCCCCGATGTCGTAATGAAGAGCTGCTCGCCAAAGTAGTCTCGCACGAGCTTGTCTTTGCGCATGGGCATATTGGGAAACCGGCCCCGGTCAAGCTTGTGATCGATCCGATAAAGGTCGTAGGGACTTTACGTGTAGCAAGTTTACAAGGCATGCGGTCAGTCAAGTCGGAAGACAACGCAGTACGTAAAAGACCATTGAAAGGGAAAAGGAGTAGCAGGAGGGAGAAGAGGACAAAAGAACGATTACAACTCACATGTGTTCGCCCATATGGCCAAACAAGATTTTAAGCTTGGGGAACCGATCCAGGACACCGTTCGTCACGATACCGAGGATGTGCATGTTCAAACGGTCGGCGTATCCCAGCGCGGAGAAGTCGAGCCACGGTCTCCCTTCCCACATGAGCTTGTGGATCAGCTCATTCGAGGGCCGGGGGTGCATGTATACGGCCGCCCCCAGTTCGGCCGCCGCCTTCCAGAACACGTCGTACTCGGGCTGGTCAAAGTAGAGCATTCCGTTCCCGTCCTCGCCGCAGCTCTGGTAGTCGTTGAGCATGGCCCCACGAACCCCTTCTTCTCAGTCATGCACCGGCGGAGCTCTTCCGCAGCCTGCGCCGGGTCGTGCATGCTTAGCGCGGCAAAGGCCGCAAACCTCGTTGGCGCCTTGGCCACCTCGGCCTCTATACGGTCGTTGGCCAACCTCGCCTGCGCTTCTGCCTTTGCCTTGTCGGGAATGCCCTGGCATCCCGGGGCCACAAAGGAGAGGATCATGAAGTCGACTCCATTCTCGTCCATCTGCTTTAGCCTCATGTCGTGTACGTCAAGCAGCTCATTCGTTAGGCGTGAGCCGGTGCCGGAGGCGACGAACTTTCCCGGATCATTGTTGGATAGCTCCTCCGGAATGGTCCAGCACTCTTCTAGCGCGATCTTTCCCAGCATAATGACTAGTCTGCCAGTTGGCTACTCTCTTCCAGATATTCACCTCGTCGGCCGTGGGTATACACCTTTAACAGTAAAAGATATCGGGGCAAAGATGTAAATCAAGGAAAGAAGCAGGCAAGGAGGTACGTAGATGGGCTAACGATGGCCGTGCTAGGACCGGGGTAGAAAGGAAAGTGAGCCAGGTTATGACTTGTTTTTATATGAAAGGTGAGCATCTAGAACCTTTTCGAAATTAGAAAACCCGTTCGCTACTTCGGCGAGCTCGCATGGCCTCCGCGTTGCCTCCTAGAAGACTTCCCCGCGGCACTGCCCGTTGCAGCGCGGCGCCGGAACTATACTGCCGATAGAAAAGTTGGGGTAGCGCCACATGTAGATTGGTGATCCCTTTGACAAAGGTGGAAGAGGACCCAAAAGAAGACGACACTAATGGACAAAATCAAATGTAATGGTTCCCTTCTTCGATAATCCTAAACTGGCGTCCTTCTCCTTTCCCCAGATCCCCGGTTTTTCGTCCCGACATGTCGGGATGCGGACGTCATCCGTTCATCTCCCCTCTCACCTAGCTCGACAGCCTCCCGGCCGTCGCTAGCTAAAAGCCGAGCACGAGGCTCAATTTATCAGGGATACCGATTTACCACCCTCAAAAGGGAAAAAAATAAAAAGAAAGAAAGAGAAAAGGGGCTTTCCCAGTGGCAAGCACGAAATGTTAAAAAATAAAAATAAAAACCATCATTGCTTGTTTCCTTGCTGTACACTTTGTGAAGGGCTCCATCGCCTATAACCTGGACCAACTACAAGTTTGGTAATGCGAAGTAATCCAAGGGCTTTCTGCGCAGTGACTTACGCTTATTAGATAGAACTCGAGCCGCCTTCATCCCAGAAAGCTCATACAGCCTAGGAGGGACCAGTATGCTGTGTAATTCATGATGAGCTTTGTGAGTGGGCCAGTCGTACTGCCCAAGCTACGGGCTTCTCACAACTTTGGGGGACTCGCGCAGAGAAGAGGATGTAAAAAGCACAGTCAATCCTTATCAAGCAAACAGTGCGCCAAGAAATCATCAAAGATACTCCGCGACCGAACGCACACAGCAAACGGGAAACCCCTGTGGTGCGAACCCCCAGCGTGGTGCCTTGTTGGATCCAGTCACATATCTTTTTTGAATATTATCCGGGTTTCCAAATTAGGTCCGCCACGTCAGGCCAAGCCGTAAATTGGTCGTCTACCACGCTCCGCATGCATCCTCTTCTCGTCAATGTTACGCCCTTTGGCATGTCACTGTTCCGGCGCCGTGCTCCGGCACCGTGGCCGGAACGATTCCGGCCATGGCCCCACCCTGGCTGCCGAGGAGGGCCGGCAAGCATCGGTTTAGGGACTCGAAAAGCTCGGGGCACCACATCTGCAATCCTCGCCTTTTCCCCCATCTCCCTCCCTCCCCCTCCTCCACTCCCCATCCCCTAAAAAGGACCAATGCGCAGCACCTTTTTGTAACGAGGAAGATGATCCATGTTCGTTTAGCTTCTAGACCAGACCCTCACCCCCTCCTCGCGAACCATCTCGTATGGTGAGATACTAGTCTTCCCCCTCCCCCCTTGTCTTCCCCTCCGTCTCTAGCTACCGGCCCATGACGGAAGAATGAATGAAGCCCACAAACAAAAAGGATACTCCCGTCACCGGTTGCTCCGAGTCTCGTGATAAAAGCTAAGCAAACAAAGTGTGAAGGAAACTCGAAGCTTCCTCCTCGATACTCCGTCTTGCTCCTGTCCCTCACCGAGCTGTCACCTTGATTCTCTCGGCCGCCACCACGTGGCAAAACACGTCTACCACCGAGGGTGTGGTAGGGGCGGTGCGCATGTCTTGGGCTCGAGAATCCGTACCTGGCGCTCTCGAGTCCAACACGCCCGCCCCAGCCATGAGCCGCGTGACCTCTTTTTCTGTGTTCCTGCCCATTCCGGAGATGAAGAAGTTGAAGCAACGAGTGGTACGGGGTCTTTCGTAGGGTTCCATGACAAAGAGAAACTAGGCTCGCATCTCCTCGGGCTTTTGCTCGCCGCTCGACTCCATCCTCCCCAAGGACGATGGGCCACCTCACCCCTCATTGTGGCCGGAAATCATTCCGGCCACTGGGTACATTAGGCGCGCGCGCAACCTACGAGATTCTGCCTCTGCTCAGTCCTCGAAGTGCAGAGCAAGAAGCAAGAAGAGAAAGAAAAAAAGATTCATCAGCCCTTCAGAAAAGCCCCCCTAAATCAGCTTCCGATATCGAGCCAGTCAGAGAACCACACTACACAGCATCGTCCTCTCCCTTCCCCTTACACAGTTAGCCATGCCCTCCGTGATCCTCCAGAACCCCGTCCACGTCTTGGACGACACCCTCCCCAATGACATAACCCTTCCGGCCTTCATGGTCTCCAAGACCAGAGGCTTCCTCCCCCGCATGGACCCCATCACCCACCTACCCCCGAGTTCGCCGAGGTCGACTCGCTCCTGAACCGGATGCCGGTCAAGATGCTTGACGGATCCCCGGCCTACTCGCCGAGTTCCGGCTCGGCGAGGTGGTGGATACCGAGCTCCCGGACCTCACGGAAGCCGTGGAGAAGTACGAGCACAACCTGCCCATCGTCAACGCCTTATACAGGGATTATTCCTTCCTAGCCTCCGCGTACCTCCTCGAGCCCTGCCACCAGAGATTCGTAGCGGGGAACCTTACGGCCTCGCGAGGACCGTCTCCCCATCCAAATCGCACGACCTATTTCCAAGTGCGCGGAGATGTAAGCGGCCACTCTTTTCATTTCTTCTTCTTATGATTACCCCCTCCCATTCACCTAATATCATATCCCTTGACGTCTCCAACAAGTCCGCTAACCTCCAATTCCCCCACCCCCAGCGCCGGCTTCAAGCCCTGGATGGAATACGCCGGCTCCTACGCCCTCTTCAACTACCGCCTCGAAGACCCCATGGCCGGCCTCGAGTACTCCAACCTCCGCCTCATCCGCGCCTTCGAGCACGGCCTAGATCCCACCTCCTCCGAGGCCGGCTTCGTCCTTGTGCACGTCGACATGGTCAAGAACTCGGGTCCCCTCGTCGCGGGCGCCGTCGCCTGCCTCGACTGCCTCGAGCAAAAGCCCTCCCCGCCGCCGCCACCCAGCGCCGCGACTTCAACGCCGGGCTCCGCACCGTCCTCGACACCATGCGCAAGGTCAACCGCACCATGGAGACCATGTGGGCCAAGTCCAAGCCCACCTCCTACACCAGCTTCCGGACCTTCATCTTCGGCATCACCTCGCAGTCCATGTTCCCCACGGCGTCGTGTACGAGGGCGTCAACGACAACAAGCCCATGTCCTTTCGCGGCGAGAGCGGCGCCAACGACTCCATGATCCCCTCATGGACAATCTGCTGTGCGTGCCCATGCCGGATACCCCCTGACCGAGATCCTCCGCGATTTCAGGGAATACCGTCCCAGCAACCACCGCGCCTTCTTGCAGTCCGTCAAGGAGCGCGCCCTCGAGGTCGGCACCAAGACGTTTGCCCTCGCTGTCGACCAGAACGATCCGGACCAGGAGATCCTAGAGTCCCGCGCGCTGTGGCTCAAGGTCCTCAACGAGGTCAGGGACTTTAGGTGGAGGCACTGGTGCTTTGCCCGCGAGTACATCCTCAAGCGCACGGCGCACCCCACGGCCACGGGAGGCAGCCCCATCGTCACCTGGCTGCCAAATCAGCTTGAGGCCGTGCTCGATGAGATGATGGCCATCTACGAAGAAGTTGGCGGCAAGGACAACCTTGACGAGGAATCACGCGACATCATGGATTTGGCCGGCCGCCAGCAAGAGACATTGCGAAAGGAAGTAAACAAGTACTGCTCGGAACGGGGCGTGTCAAGGTCATAGGCCACCATTTGTGGAGCAGGCCCTGCTCAAGCCGGGAGACGTTTCGACGATGCCCTGCTACTCTGTCAACGCAACCTTTCGGGAAAGGGCCTACCAGTTGGCGGCCGAGTAGCTTTGTTCTAGCTAGTATGCACGTAAAAATATTCAGTCTACCCAATATGTACCGCAGGGATGATTGCCTCGATATTCGTCCCCAATCAGCCTTTTGGTTGTGAAGAGTTTGTGAAACGAGAGCATATTCGTGCTTAGTCCAGACAACACGGATCACCCAATTACTCTAGAATAAAGTATAACACGTTAGAAAGGTTGGAGAGAAATGCAATCGCAAGTTCGACATTCATCTTAGTCGAGTGTAGAAACAAAGAGGGAGTCTTCCCTGTCCTTGTAGTCGCCAAGCAACTTTATAGATACTAATAGCGTAACAAACATTGTCATCCAATATACGCCGTATGCCGTGGTTCCGTTTAGTCCATGGTAATTCCAGCTCTCAAGAATGAACAAGTGAAGAAAAACGACAAAGATATGGGGAATGGAAGGTGGTGGAGAAGAGTTATAACATTAAGTCATAGAAACAGTCGCAACTAACGCCGGTGGGACCTTGTCCGCTATGATATTCCTGCACGCAATAAAAAGAAAAAGAGCCACCCAGAAACGAAGAAGCGAGACGAAAGCCGGGGGTCGTCGAGCGCCCAATATAGTGTTGGTACAAGGGTGCGAGATCCCGCGTGAATCGAAACTCTTGGAAAGAAAAGGCTCAGAGAAAAAAAAAAGGGAAAAGGGCCGGCCAAGCGGGAAGGAAAATATTATGGGTTGCACTCTCGATCTCGAAGGCCAAGCAAGTCGGGCCATGGTATTATGTAGGGAAGCGGTAGAGAAGTAGAGCCAGTTCTTGGTATCGTCGAATAAATGACCGCGATAGAAAGGGAAGCGACAAGAGCACGTTGACGGTGATACCGTATGACGTCAAGGAAGCCTCCGAGAAGGCATAGGTGGTAGCCTAAGAAAGGCCGCAGTTTTCAAATTCCCTAACCATTACCGCTACTTGTGCCCTCTTGGCGGCCTCAGCGACAAGGGTGAAGTCCCTGAGGAAGGGGTCTACCGATGCTTGGTCCTGCCGGCGGGTGCAGCGACAGTAATGGAGGCGGAGGCGAAAGGCTGGTTCGAGGAGGAGAGGCTGAGGGGGAGATGGCGTCGGAAGAGCAGTCGACGGATCGCTGGACGGGCGAAGATATGGGTGCGTTCATGTTGGGCATGTTGACGTAAAAGTGGCCGTCAGTTGAAGGAATAGCGGTTGGAGTAGAATGCGTATGGTATCCAAGTCGAAGGATGGTTCTTTATCGCTGTTCTTCTCGTTCTCTTTAGAGACTGAGGCTAAGAGCAACTGGCGGAGGTGGACCAGGAGAGTTTCGGTAGAAGAAAAGAGAAAGAGGAAGGGACAAGAGAGACGAGACACCAAGGGCGGATGAGCCCGTTGTACCCTGGAAGTGGAAGGTGGGATGGTGGGGGTGTAAGAGCGTTATAAAGTGTCTGGATGCGTGACGTTGAGGTGATTTGCTGCAACGACTGGCGCTTGGTCTGTCAGGAGTTGAGTTGACAGGGTCAAACTGCACGGTTTATTGAAAGAGCTGTGTGCGCGCGTGGATGCAGTACCGCGCAACGGTAGGTTGATGATACGTATCGAGATGAGTCGGAATTCGACCTTGATCAGTCAAGAAGTTGTATAAAATAAAGCAACTACCGAAAGGGTTCCAAACACGAGCGAAGGCTTTGGGAGGGGCACTTGGGGAGGCCAAGGCAATTATTATAAGTTTTAGTCGGGGCAAAGGAAATGGCGCCTTGTTCTTGCTCGGGTAGTCCCCTCGGGTGAGTGAGTTGTCGGGGTTGATCGTAGCGATGACGGGGCGGCCCCCACTCTTTTTCTTCCTCGAAACGGACTCAAGGCTAGCCTTGGTATTTTACTTGTGATGGCCACGAGTTTGTGCGGGTGCGGCGTGTATCGGAGACTCGGCGTTTGGCTCCGCAGGCTGGAAAAAGGTTGGTTGGATGGTTGGATGGCTGACCTAGGTAGGCCAAGCTAGCTCGCAAGAAGTGTGGAGATGATGGACGAGATTGCCGAGTGCACAGAGTTTTTGCAAATGGTCAATCAGAATGCCGACGAGAGTTTAGTCCGTGCCGGTACTTGACGACCCGGTGAGGGTTGTGAGTGCTCAATGGTGTCTGACTTGTTGTAATTTCGCAACTCTCTAGTCTAGTGCAGAACCTTTAGAAAAAAGGGATCGGATGAGAGCGGAAGAGACGAAGAAGTTCAATTGATGGAGAGATCAATACGAGAGCAGGAGCAAAGGAGTAAAAGAGTAAAAGAGCAAAGGAGCAGAGGTAGATCACACATAGGTTCAGGACGGAAGGCGTGATGAGCGAGAGAAGGAGATAATATATAGACATCTACCAAGTATCCATGGATTAGATGTATCTACTGTATACGAGTATCTATCGGCGTTCAGAGGGAGACGAGGCGGCATCGCAGGGAGACTAGGACCGAAGATAATATCGGGGAAGGGTGCAAGGCACGATTGGTACGATGTTGTAATTGATCCAATCCTGATACAATGTCGGGCGGCGAGCAGTGGACGGACGCCTTTGGGGGAAGATCCCTTGCAGCGCATGTGGCCTGTGTCGGTGGAGCCCCGGATCAACCGAGCTTCGAAGCCGGTATGGGAGGAGAAGATCAAATCGAGTCCCTATCTAGATGATACTGGCCAAATACTCCGGTAAAGGGCAATCACCGGTGACAAAAGGGTCAACCTGCAACCACTTAAAAATGCTGGCCCCATTTTGACCTTGACGGGGCGAGTGGACTGAGGCTGGGGGCTCAACTACTTGGCGGTGGACACTCGGAAGGGCGCGGGACGGGAAAAGGGCAGCGCAAAGAATTGTGAGCACGACGATGGTCCGTCGGAGCAGCAGCGGTTCTAGTCTGAACGTTGGAGAAAAAGGACACAGTAGACAATGAGAGATACCCTTCGCTCTTCCCTCATTCTTCCCCCATCCCCATCCCCTCCTTCCCCGTCAGTGGATTGCGTGCGGAGCCGGCAACTAAACAACGTTGGCCGATTGGGCAAAGAACCGGGCCGAGCGTGGAAGAAAACTCTCCCGTACTGTGCTCTGGCGCAAGCTGCTGTATTTGCCAGTTTGCCAGTGAAAAGAGGCTAAACGGGTATCCCGAGGTTGACGGTACGCTCAAAAGATCCGAACTCTGCCCGTCCGTCACGGTGAAGTTGTTCCGAGTGAGACCTAGGGGAGCCAAGATTCCTTCTTTCACCTCTCCCAGCTTTTGACCTTTCCTGTTTGGGACACAATCCTCATCGGCCCATGGCAAGAGCATGGGGGCCAAGGAAAACCGAGGGTCTTTGATCACTAGTCTAGAACCGAGGGATATCCTTCCCCGGGAAATGAAGTTAGATTACAAGGCTTCGAGGGGATTCTGAGCTTCTTTTTTTTTTTTCTAAGAAATGAAATAAGAGAAGAAAAAAGAAAGAAAGAAAAGGCCGTTCAAGGTACACGCACGTAGCAAGGGAAATTTCCGGCTTGCAAGATTGAAGCTTATCAAAACGGTTCAATGTTCCTTGGGGGTTTCAATGGATCTCTTCGAGCAAAGCCCACCCCCAGGTGGGACCCCGGTGGCGCCCTGGATCAACGGTCCGAATTGCAGTTCGCAAGCGCACTTCACCGACCTCCATCGCGAGTCGTTGACGTGTATCTGACAGAAGATCCAACGTGCCACTCCATTACAATCGGCTGCCCAAGAGGGGTTTTTTATCTTTTTCTTTTCCCCCTTTTTAACGAAGGGCGGTTCATACTCGTACAGCACCCATGCACAGATAGGATGGGACCGAGACTATCCAGCGGAGAAAATTAATCCCATGGGTGGCCGAGTCGCGGTTGCACAAGCACACAAATACAGGCAAGGAGCCACATGGATGGATATGGCACTTACCGAGCGAATCCCGTACCTGGACTCAAAGTAGGTGAGAGTGGCCTAGGATGGGGCCCATCCCTTGTTGAAATTGATCCAATGGATCAGTGGTAAACATAATAATGGACTGATCAACTGCAAAGTGCATTTGCAAAACTACGGTGTAGACTGAATGGCTTGGATAGCATGTTGACATGGTGTCAGCTATGCAGAGAGTCGACGAGATAAGTGGGACAAATGTTCAAGGACATTTCCCATCTCTCAAGTGTGTTTGTTCAGTTCATGCAGTCTACATGTACGTAGCCGGATCCATCATAGGGAACAAAAATCGAATATCGGCCAAAATCAACCAAAGCTCTAGCCTGCTCACGCCAAAATGGGACCCGGCCGTCCTGCAGGAACAAAACTGGACATGGTGTGGTGTGGCGGCTGGGTCAAGAAGAGAGTTGCCGCACTCCACTCATCGATAGACATCCATCAATAGTAGACGCTCGCATCCAGGCTCCATCTACGGATCTATGGAGAGACTGCCGGCTTCAGGAACAACGGGCTTGATCCGTATGGATAGATGATGAATCTACATGTATTGATTGATCGCACCTTTGCCAACCGCCCAGGAACCGAGGATGGCTGTCATGTCATTCTTGTCCCGCATGCACCATATGGGCCCAAGACGTTGCTGTCGTCCATGATTGGATCCGGACGGAAGATTCTTGAAAACCACCATTCCCGGCACCCGGGCTTACACGCATGACGAAAGAAAGAATATCAGAGATTTACAGCCTATATCCAACGAAACACTCGCCAAACAAGACCCATCTGAAGAAGAAGATTTTGCCCCCAATGAAAATGCTTAGCGTTTCCTAAACGAGGGGAGAAGGAAAATGATACTAGAAAAGCGGGAGGAAGCAACGGTTCTCGGGTATGGTGGAAAGAGAAGAGAAGAGACATGAAAAAAAAATTGGAAGAAAAAAAGAAGAAAAAAAGAGTGAGAGAGAGGGGGGAGAAAGCAGCCTACGATGCCATGAGAATAGGGCCGAGGTGGAATATTTCTACGCGCAAGTGGAGACGGAAAACGGAAGACAATGGGACAGGCCCCATCAGAGCCGCGACAACAGAGAAATGGGTCAATGTATCGAGGTGATGGCATGGCATGCCGCCAAAAGATGGGGAACGGGAAGAACAGAAAGAAAAAAGCAAAATGGAAGAAAATTCGTCGAGTGCTTCCGCTTGCCTTCTTTGCCCACGACTGAAGTGGAGCCGGAACCAACACTCCTAGCGTCTTCCTGGAGACTACGCGGAATTAGGCCAGATCTGTTAGTGCGCTTCTCTCTCCGTTATCTTGACCCTTGTTTCGAGAAGAGGAAAAAAAAAAAGAAAGAAAAAGGCTCTCCTTTACGTTTATCTACAAAGGTATTCATGCCGGGCTCAGGATGGACGCGTGTATGATGCATTCCTCGCACAGCACCCAATCTATCCCTGATCGTCCTGGGTGCCTCGAGTCTGTTGTGAGACAAGGTAAAAAATGTGGACGGGGATGAAGATGTTCGCTCCGGGCAAGGGCAATCAAAGAAGGCTCGCCATCGTGCTCCTTGCACTCAGAGAGCGGCGCTAGAGGTTACACGCCAGGGTTCGCCCGCAACGGGGGAGATAAGGGAAGCTCTGGGCACATCAGTTCCGAGCACAAAGCCAAGCCCTTCCGAGACCGAGGTCGATGGCGAGCACCGTCAGCCGCCCGTTCTCTCGTGACTCTGTGACTCCACGCTACCAATTTTCCGCTGGCCTCCTTGCCTCCCCATCCTAAGTAGGACCAATATTTGAAATAATATACCGATTGCCACTTGTACTCGTGAAAAGAGGCTAAAGGCTAAAAGCGAGAATATGCCAACGCAGAGCCGCAAGGCACGACGACGGCATATGGAGAGAGAGAGAGAGAGACTAGCCGGTCAGATGATTCCACCACTCCGCGGGCCAAGAAGAGACAAGCACGAAGCACGGGGAGAGGCGGGCATTATTCTTCCGCATACCGAGCCTTGTGTGGAACTAGAGAAACAAGGCCGAGACGAAAAAGGAACTCGAGGATTCCCGTGTAAGAGGGAGAAGGTCACCAAGGAACGGCTTTAATGAATCTACATTCATGGCTTCAATGTTCCTCTCCATTCAGACCTGGACATGCCGCCTTTCCCCGCCTCCCCCGCCCCCAATCTCCCCAATCTCCCACTAACACTATTGCATTGGATCTGTGTTGTAGGTTCTCTGCCTCCATTAAGCCGTCTGCATCTCACCGAGCGGAGAAGGGGTCTCTTTTGGCCTTGGTGCGGGCGGAGATACCGCTGGCGGAACCATTGTCCTACGGAATTTCTTGATGCAAAGTAACGCCCGCCAACCTAAAACTCCATAGTCTATGTTCCCCTGAGTGTAGTATCAGACAGCGTTGCCTCCCTCCTCCCTTTGCCTACCGAGAGTTGGAATTATAGCATCTCGGGTACGCTCAAGCAATCAACGTCACCCACCAAGTCTCTGTGCGATAGAGCACTGATGTGAAGGGTCCTTCTGTTGGTTCATTCCGTCTCTTGGTCAGTCGGCTGCAGGATACGGTGGCCCGTTAGGTTGCGGGTTGATGTAGGTTAATGCGGACGCCATGCAACATAACATCAACCCGTGGCCGTGGCATTCGGCCCTCCTCCTACTATTGCTCTCTTGCTTGGATGTAGGTCGAGAAAGGCCGAGTCCTTCGTCGAAGAGGGTTGAATATGTCGTCGTCTTTTCCTACGTGCAGAATGTCATGAAATTATCATTACTTTGCTTGGTGCGCCTCCCGACTTTGACCAATTCCTTTTAATTGCTCTCCCTAGCTATTCTTTGCGGGGAAACGAGAGCGATCGGCTCCAAGAGGATGCGCTAACACTAGATAAACGAATCCCTTGGATCAAATGGCGCCGCAGGGTCGACCTAGGGCGCGGTTGTCCTCGAGTCAGGGAAAGCACAAGCGCACGAATTGCAAGTTAGCCACAATGTTAAAGGCTCGAGCATCATCTCATCCATGGATCAATGTCAGAACAGCCCACTGACTGATTTTATCGCCGGGGTTTTCACCTTGAGGAAGGTGATGGCATGAAGCAGGTCACTGGGCAGGGAACCTCCGAATAAAGGCAAGAGTAAACCAACCTCGAGGCCGGTCGTCCGCCCCCCCGATCAAAGTTCCCCGACATGTGAATATCAAGGGAGCCGCACTCGCCTTTGCCCCTACACCTACACCACGGGCCAAGTTCAGGCTAATGGGCCAAGAACGTGGGCTCCCTTTCTACATTCACATGGGTGCAGCGGCGCCTGCTTGCTTGCCTACCTCTGCGTTCTGCATTCTGTCCCGCGCCCGTATTTTCCCGCTTAGCCAACCGCTCTGCCGACTTGGAAGTGACGTCTTCAAAGTGCTATGAACTTCGGGGTTCCGATGAGATGATTTTCTCATCAGCCCCATCCCGGCAAACCCTCCCCGCGAGGCATGATACGCAAGTGACGTCTCGGAGCGCAAGGAAAGAAGGAAACGCAATTGCTCTCGCCCGAAACCTGGAGCTGCCCATGCTTCGCCCAAGAGGTTTCGGTATTCGAGAGTGAAATCAAGAAGATGAAGATGGAACCTCTCGCCTTTGTTCGCCCCGCACTCTCGGACGACTGGAGGAGGGCTGCCTTGAGGGAAAGCCCCAAACTCTAAATCGTTTGGTTCGCAGCCCCCTTTTCTCCTCTTCTCCTCGTCTGCCATCGTTGTAGAGATGGAGATTGAAGGTTGGAACGAAGATGCGAAGGTTTACGCACGATTCATGCCTCGTTGTGTTCTTTTTCCCTTTCCGATAAACCTCCTTGATTCCTCACTCGCCATCTTCTATCGCCCCCTTCCTAAACCTTATTACGTGAGCAGCCCATGCAAGCTCCATGTGGACATGGCGTGAATGTGCCCCGTCCAAGTCACTTTTCTCTCACGATCGCGTCCACCTGCCTTTTGTGAGCTTTTAGTTTGAGCCTTTGCGCGCGAAAGCAAGGGGGCCGTTTCAGTAATAGTCCAGCCCATCTAATATCTCATGATCAATTCCTTGCATCTGTCCTAATAGAGGAAACCGCCTCCCCGCCCACCTCCTCCCCGTCTCATTCAGCTGCAGAAATGGGCCTGGCCCGATACCGCAGTCTCCCAAGCCCATCCACCATCCTCTGCAAAGAGCCGTTGCTCCGGCTAGCCAACCCCGCGCCCACCACCTCCCACTCCACCAACTTGTCCGCCAGCTCCCAGGAGCTCTCCCCCACATTCCCGCCGCCCCATGCGAACCCGAGCTCTGTGCACCACCACCACCAGAGCTACCAACGCCCTCGTCTCTGCTACACAACGTCACCCATCCCCTCCCACCCATTCTCCGTCGCTCCCAGCACCAAGGCTGGGATTAGTAGCAGTAGCAGTAGCAGTAGCAATAGCAGCAACCGCGGCGTCCCCGCCAGACACCCGCCGCCTCTCCTTGCAATCATGAATCCCGCAGCCGAGGCCATCGCGTCCACCTTTCGGGACGTGCCTCCCGAGTCCCACGGCCCCATGTGGGAGACCCTGTGGACCCGAAACCTCACCCCCTGGGACCGCGCTGGCCCGAGCATGCCCTTGCACGACCTCCTCGCCGACAAGTCTGAGCTCCTCGGCGCCGCCGCTCCCGGCAACAAGGGCCGCCAGGGACGCAAAACGGCCCTCGTCCCCGGCTGCGGCAAAGGTCACGACGTCCTTCTCCTCTCGTCATGGGGCTACGACGTCGTCGGCCTTGATCTGGCCGAGACGGCGCTCAAGGAGGCCCGCGAGAATGCCGAGGCCGTCAAGAACGACGAGGCCTACAAGCTCCAGGACGGCGTCGAGACGCGCGGAACGATTACATGGGCCCTCGGTGACTTTTTGCGGATGACTTTCTCAACGAGTCGAAGCACTCCAAGTTTGACCTCATCTTTGACTTCACCGTAAGCCAGTTTCTTTTTCGTTGGCCTGAATGCATGGCTCGTGCTGCTTGTTCTTTTCCAGTGTTTACTCTATAGACCATGCGTGACACATACCCGTATCTCGTATCTCGTAGATGATTTGCGTTACTTCGCTTGTCGAACCCTCCCACCAGCGATCTATATAGGAAAAAGGAAAAAAAGAAAAAAGACCGCTGACATGCTGTGCCCTCTCCCCCTACGCTTTGCTCTTCTCGCCGTGGAGCAGGGCTAGAGGTGAGGGAGTAGGCCATAATCTTACAGTTCTCCTGCGCCCTTCCTATGCCCCTGAGGCCCAAATGGGCCGCTCGCCAGGCCGAGCTTCTCGGACCCGAAGGCCGGCTCGTCATCCTCCAATTCCCCAACGGCAAGCCCTTATCCCTCCAAGGTCCGCCCTGGGGCGTCAACTCCGATATGTACCTAGCCCTGCTATCCCGACCGGGCGAAGAAATCGATATCGATGAAGACGGCCAGGTCCGCCATCCTGACAAGATTGAGAGAGCGGAAGGGGGCCTTCGACGGGTAGACTTGTACGCGCCGAAGCGGACGCACACTATTGGGGTGGCCGAAGATGGCACGATAACGGACCGCGTGTCGATATGGGCCCACTAAGCAGGAAGAAGACTGCACTGTAATCTCCGTTCTAGTTGAACAATGATGAGAAGAAGAAACGAGAAAAAAGGGGGAGGAGAAAGATCATCCATCCCAGAGTATCTTCAGCGAAACCAAGCATGTAAAATGAGAGGGAGAAGGATAAGGCATGCTTGTAATGTGTGAGAGGGCACCGGGTGCGGAAGCAGGAAGATGGGCTCCGTCTACCCGACCCCAAGCCCCTAGTCAGACACTTCCAAGCTTCATCGAGCTTTCCTCAACGAATTATAGTGCTCCCCCAGACCGTATCCGTGCCTGTAGTACGCGAGCCAAATATGGCGCGCGTCATCCCCGTCGTCCCCTCCCTCCGAGGGCTGAATCTTCTCCGTGGCCCCGTTCTGCACCACGTTGATGCGCACGCCGTACGCGTTCGCGAGCGCCATCAGCTCCACCTGCCCACCCCACTCCGCCGTATCCCGCATCTTGGCCGCGTAGCTCGCCACGTCCTCCTCGAGAAACGGCGCAAAGTCGTCGGCGTGGTCCTCGATCCAGCCCGCCGCCGCTGCCCGCACCACCTTGTATCCGGGCGCCTTGCCCGCCGCCGCCGCCGCCGCCGCGTCCGCCGCGTGCTTGCCCGCCGACGACAGCGCGATCCCGTCTTGCTCCAGCTGGTCCGCCACCGCGCTGAACAGGCAGTGTCCGTCGGGCCGAATCTCCCTCTCGAGGAGCGAGTGGGCGCGGAACGTCCCCTCCATCGCGGCTCGCTCGATGGCCTTGTGGTCCACCATGTCCACCGTTTCCGATTCCGCCGCCTCGGCGAGGGCGGCTTGCTCTGCCGCGCGCCGCGCGAGCCGCTCCTTTGCCGGTTGCGCTTTTTCCCATGTCCCTGCTCTTGTTCTTGCTCCTGTCCCTGTCCCTGCTGAGGTGGCTCTGCCTGCGACTCTCCCGCTGCTTCGGCGGCGTCCTCGATCGTAGCCTTGGCAATCTGATCCGCCACGTCGCCCGCTTCGTCTCCGGCGTCCTCCGTCTTTTCCGGCACCTTATTCGTGTCACCAGAACCCGTGACCGCCGCAATTTCGCTGGCATGCCTCTCGGCAAGTTGGCGCTCTAGCTCCGCACATTCTTCATTCACTCCTTTCCGCGTCTTCTTCGTCGTGTTCTTCTTCTTGTTCGTTACACGGCCCTGAAGCTCCTTCTTCTCCTTGCGGTGCCGTGCTTGTATCGCCTCGAGCGTCTCCATTGTCGAGCAAGCTTAGGAAGGGGATAGGGTTAGATCTTGCAGGGCAGGATTAATCGTAGTAGCACGTGGATCGTGTTTGGATATTCGCGTGGGAAGGGCGGAGGAGCTGATTTTGTACGGTGGCTCGATGTGCGTATTGGCTCAACGAGGGGATCGAGACTATTAGTCCTATCGGTTCTTTTCGGAGAGACGGAAACGTGGTGAGCCTTCAGTGCTGTCGGGGTTGGCCCCTACCTCCACTGCTCGCGCACTATTCTATTCTTCGACCTCTCCAAGATGGCGAGATCTAGGCCTCTTTGCCAAGATAGCTCTCTGCCCTGTGCCTAGGGATCCCAAAAGAAAGATTCCCAGGAAAATGTTTCAAGTGGGTGAAGCTGAAATCTTTCGCGTGGGATGATGGAACTAATATTGGATTAATGGGTGGATGGAAGAGATCAATTCTGTTGGTGGGGCAGGGTCGATGGCTGGTGCGGGGCTCATTGCTGAATCGCGGCTTGGTTCATATTCATTCCTTGATGGGTCCATGGATGAATTCAAATGGAATGGATATTTGAGCCCGCCAACTCAAGGGACCTCATAGATTCATGAATTCTATCCCCTTCCACGGCCCTTCTAGACGCTGATTTGACTTCGCCTAAAGACACTTGAGACATTCATCAATAGCAAAGATAATCGACAACGCCTGCTTGACTGAAGAGCCTGTTGAGGGACTGCGACAGTCGTCAAGACGAGATTTTGGAAACGGCATCCATGCTAGCCAGTCTTTATCTCCTCAACCTAAGTTGTGGCCTGGGAGCAAGCCCAGAGCTAGCTTTCTCTCAGATGAGAAAGTATCGACAAACGCATCAATCTAGGCACAAAGCAAAACACGTCAATGATCCATGAAGGTGGCCAATGTATTATTATGTCCGAGTCACACCACCTGGCTTGAAACAGACAAGGCCTAGGTTGAACAAAAAAAAGAATAAAATAAAATAAAAACAGCAACACCGGATGAACCCGACAAGTGGTTGAAAGATCCAAAAGTGAAAACAATAAGGACGCAAAAGAGAATGCATCAAAAAAATGATGGCTGCTTAGGTATCCTTGATCCTCCAGATGTTCATCACTGTCCCAAAACCAAAACATTTGTTTTCAAGGAGTAAGCCAATGCCATGATCTAGCTTTAAACCCCCACGTACACTTTTCACAGATAGACAACACATATTTCGGGCTGGACGGCACACGCCAGCCGTTTCTCAGCGCCGAAAGAGAGGGAGGAGAAATATAACAAAGTTCGACAAGGCTCCTGGGTAATCCCCAGTGCTTTACCGCCTGGCAAAGCAGCACATGAGACCAGTCTTTCCGAGGAACCAGAGGAAACCGAAGAATCGGACGAGAGAGAGAACGGCGGTCGCGTAAAGGAGGAATCGGAAGAATCCGACGGTACGGGCCGAGGTGGTATCCTGCCAGTCCGAACGTTAGTCAAAGAAAAAGAAAAGGAAGGGGGTTGATCTGTTACTTACGCCGATACCGAAAGAGTTAAAGTTGTCACTCGTGATAACGACCACGAGAAGGGCATTGGAGAAGAGCCAGGTCACGACGAGACCGGTTCGGAAAGACTTGTACGAGTCCTCGACATCCTTAGCCTCAACCTCTTCTTCCTCGACAAACGGTTCAAGAGCGCGCTTGACAGTTTGCTCAAACTGGATATCGATATCCTCCTGGGGCTTGTCGACTTCTTCGACAACGACTTCGTTCTTCTCGCCCTTGCTAACATGAGCCGAGGGAAGAGCCTCGGCCTTATCCGAACCCTTGGTACCCCACGAGACATCGTGCCAGTTGTTGAACGCGTACACCATGAGAATGTTGATATAGGTCGACATGAGCAGAAGATACGAGGGGAACGAGTGGAACATGTGCCATGGGTCGAGGTACAAGAACGAAGCGAGGTAGTAGAGACCGTAGATTGTCACGAGGGCGATGATGATGACACCGGCCGCGGACTCTCCAAAGAAGGTCTTGACAAAGTCTTCGCTGCTGTCAAGCTTCAGCTGGTCACCAATACCGCTTTTAAAGGCACGTGCGACGAGGTAGCCGGAGAGGACGAGGACGTAGAGCTGAACGAGGGAAAAGACGATGAACGAGGTGATGTACTGATACTTCGAACCCTTGGGGCGGTTACCAAGCGCCAGAATGAACTGGAGAATGACAAAGGCGAGATACAGATACTTGAGTGTCGCGTTGATCAAGGGAGTCGCAGAATCACCAAAAGGCCAGGCGTGGTGCTCGGCGCTCTCACTGCCACCGGGGACCGGGGTGCCGACGAGATCCATGATGACGGTTGTAGTAAGGTAGTAAGACGCCAAGGCGAACCAGGTGAAGATGACGTTCAGGATGTTGTAGATGAGCTGGACATGGAAGAAGATCATGCGGATGATGTTATGGCTCGATTTGTACATGCGGCCAAAATGCATAAGCGAGTAGAGCGAGGCTGCGAACGAACCGTTGAGCCAACGACGACGCTGCGAGATGAACTCGGCGGCACCCTCAGGTACATCGGTTTCACCCTTAGCCGCCTTGATGTAGCTCAAGTGCCATTTCTGGCCAGCCTTGGCGACCAGCTCGAAACACAGGATACGATCCTCGGCCAAGAACATGTTCTTCTTGAAAATGTTCATGCCATCGATACCCTTCTTTCCAAGTCGCTTTGAAAGCGTGTGATCACCGTGGAAGTACTGGTCGAGAGGACGGCCCATGATAGCACGGTACCTGTATGCGGAGAAGGCACCAGGCAACACACTCACGTAACCGAAAGCACTCTCAAGCGGCTTATCGAGAATGTTGGAAATCTTGTACTCAAAATTTTGCACAGAGACCAGGGGGTTGATCAGCTTCTTGCCGCCCTTACCCAACATGGCGTGAATTTCACCGCAAGCACCTCCCAGATCCTTGTCATTGTAGAAGCCCTCCCAGAGAGCCAAGAGAGACTTGGGGCTGGGCTTGGTACCGGCGTCGAGGAGAATGCACACCTCGGGATTGAGGATGCGGCCAAAAGCGTTGAAGAGCCAACGGTGAGAGTTGATCTTCTTGCTGTTCTGACCCTTGAGACAGAAGATGAACTGGACCGGGGGTAGAGTCTGGGGGCTATCATCCACTGGCCTGATGAGCTGCTGGTTGGGAGTCACGGACAATTGCGTCGTGTACTCGAAGATGTGGGCGACTGTCTTTTTGCCGTCAACGTCCTTCTTAACGACACCATCCTGGTAGACACCAATGGTGGCCAAGACGTCAAGCACAGACTTGTCCGTCTTCTCGATACCGTCAAAAACGAGGCAGACGACAATCTTTTGCCAAGCAGGACCTCCCTTGTTCCAGAAGACCGACTTCTTCAGGTTCACGATATCCCTGATGTTCTGCATGACACCGTGGAGAGTACGCGACATGAGCAGCTTATCTTCGTTATAGTATGTGATGGCAATGAGCAGTTCGGTGTGGCGGTTGTACATCCTCGGTCGAAGATCGTAACCGTTCTTGAGAGTAAAGTCATCAGGGTCACAAGTGGCTGCGGTGTAGCGCATCTTGACGAACTCGTCGGAGCCTGCTTCGCTGTCGCGATACTTGGCTTGGACGGCATTGCGGATCGCACTGGGAACGGGATAGTCGATGCTCAAGACGGAGCCTTGCACAAGCTTGACCTTACGCGTGGCGTATCGCTTCAGGCCGCCACCCGGGGCCATGCCAGGCTGCTGTCTCCTTACCCAGCTCTCGTCGGCATCCACGTGGGAGACGGGCCTATCGCCATAGCCGTATCCACCAGTGGGGTCGAACCCGGTGCCGTAGGCTTGGTTTCCGTACGCCTCACCAAACCCAGGCGTTGGTGTCTGGCTATGTGCTCCCGGCGCGTAGGTCTCGCTCAAGCTGTAGGCAGACACTGGTCGCGGAGGAGGGTTGTTTGCACCGAGGTAACCATTGTCGTAACCTTGCTGCTGCTGGTGAGGATCTCTCAGAAGTGAACGTTCGGCGTCCTCGTCATGGGGGTCCTGAGGGGGATGTGATACTAAAATTATCCAAACAAATTTAGCGCGTTAGTTGAACTGCCGTTTCTTGGTTTCGAGTCTTTTGCCCTTATCGAAATCTTTTTCCTCCCATCTCTAGGGGGCCGACGAAGCCACCGAGAATGCCACAGCAAAACGCAGCAAGCCCCTCAAGGGGTAGGACACGTCTAACTTACACTTTGGCCTGGAGGAAGGTCCTGGAGAGGTTGACCATAGTCATGGCCACGGCCACCGCCCGGATACGCCATTGTACGTTGTGGGCTATTTGGGGCCTCGCGAGGCAGAGTTGAATTTAGGACAGGACCCTTGGAAAGGGGCGTCGGACAAAGGCCAATCTAAAGCAGGCTCGTGGCTGTTCCGCTTGGTCTCGATGATGGTTTACGTCAAAGACGATTCGTTGTTTGATGGAGGTGATGTTGAGAATAAAGAGGGAGGGAAAAAATCGAGAAGGGGAGGCGGGAAAGGGGTAAGGGACTTCGAGAAGCCGCTCGGATAAGCTGAGGCGAGGCTTCTGAGGCAACAGCAAGGAACGGGCTACAACAGTAGATTAAATTGTGCTGCTCCACTGTCAAGCTCGTACATGCAGGGGATGCGAAGGAGCTGATGGATCGATCAGCGAGCACAGAAGAATCGAAGAAAAAGCTAGAAACAAAAGATTTGGGATTGGGAGAAGAAGGAGCAAAGGGGCTTCTTGGAGTTTTGTTCGATCTTGGGACAAGAAACGCTGTGGCTTAAAAGGAGGGACAAGGCCTAGGGAGGGAGCTGAGGAGGTTCAAGGGGAACTAGTGATATTCGAACGAGAAAAAGGTTCCAGCCGAACGTGCTGGGCAGGGAGACCTAGCAAAGGGGCATCCTACACTCGACCGGGCTGACGGCTGACGGCTGGGGGAATTGAAAGGAGCTGTTCTTTTTTCCCCTTCTTTTTCCCACTGTTCCCTCGCCCCCTTGCCAGCCCAAGCCCACGGCAGCCGTATTACGATTGACGCTGGATTCGTGGCTGAGCCTGGTGTGGGTAAAAGGGTGCATGCGCATTTACCATCCACAGCACATGGGCTGCAGAGGGACTGGCTTGACGCGAAATCGGGAAGAGGGTGACAAGCGTCGGGCCAGCTCTGGAGCTTCGCATCTCCTGCTCGTTTTTACTATCAGGATTACCACAGTCACAATCATTCACAAGCATTCCCAATCTCCTATCCTCCAATTTCCTCCAAACGAATATCGACGAAGTGAAAGACTAGATGCACGGTCTACCAGACCCCCTCAGGTCGAAGAGATTACGAGCAAGCCATTCGTCCAAAAGTAAGAATAAGTGTTGACTGAGCTAAACCTTGAATTCTCAATGGTGAAAAGGGGGCATCTTGGCCTGGCTCGCGCTCTAATCTTGCGCCTGCGTGGCGGAGCTGGGACATCAAAAGAGGCTCTCAAGAGTCCATCCCTGGATAAATTTGGGCCAGCTTCAGGGAGGTACAAGCTACAACAGCCATGTACTCCGTGCCAGTACTTAAGCCAACACAGTATATCCCCGCATTCACCATGTGCACAGCACAGTCCAAAGTCAATTCCACCCTTTTAGACCAACGCTAAGCAACAAGTCGCGTTTCTCGCTCCTCCGGTCCACAAGCTTTGATGAGCGCGTGGGTGCATGACGAGTTCCTTCCGCCGTTGCTGGCCGACTTTGATCCCGTTGGCGATATCCTATCACCACGAATCGAGAAGGAGTTGGCCCTCGAAGGTACTGAGAACCCAATGATGGAAGCGCCCAATGTATTGCCCCAAAAGATAATTGAGATGCTGGGAAAGACATGCTGGGCGGATGTGCTCATCATCCAGGCGGCGTAATGGAGGTGACCCATCTTTAATGTTCTCTTTTAGGGGAAAAAAGGTGGTGGGGGTGTTTCACAGTTCTTCGATCGACCTTCTCGTTCTGTCCAGCACAAAGACTTCATCACTTTGAACATTGAATAATGTGGGTGGTCGAGGAACTGGTGTCTTTCGCTTCCTGAGTCTTCTTTCTTTCTTTCTTTTTTTCCTTACCTCGGTATTACTCCCCTTCCCGTTTGCACTCGCAACACCAAGCCCAAGGCATCAGATCAGTCGTGGGAAGAAGCCCATCTTGCAGAAAAATGATACATGCGGAGCAATCGAGAAGGGTACACTAGACTCCCTTCCCTCAAGCAACCTTCCCATTGGGTGTGGCTTGGATTGGGCTGGGCGCTGGCCGATGCAGGTTGGCAATAAATCTGACAGCCGAAGCACTCTGGTCCCATGTTCTACCTCCCAGCCAGGCTCAGCCGCTCCCACATGCACAGTCGTCTTTTCTACCATCATCTCATGAATCTTCAAATCCATCCCCAAGCCCAGTCATCAGGGCCGAGCCCATTCGTCCTCTCTTCTCGACACGATTTGCATTGTACGGATCGGGCATCCCACCCGACGAGGTCTTCACAAGGAAAGCCACTGCCCCCGCCCATCTTCAAGGTTCAGACGCTCTAAAGCTACAAATTCAACCCGTAGTCCACCCCCTTCCCCTTCGCGTCTTGACCTCTTGACGTTCTTCGAACGCTTGTCCGAGAAATCCCCTTAGAAATAGGACATGAGAACAAGATGTCACCCCCGGGCGCCCATTGAGATGAAATGGGCCCGGGTGTCTGTGGCGCAGAGCGCGAGATGAACACAACGCTAAAAACGCGCGAGAGCCTCTCGCCGTTTCACCAGGTAAACAAGAGCAAAAGGTATTGATAATAATACATGTATCCTTCATTGAGCCCCTGTACGTGCGCAAACTTGGCCATGAACGGGGTGGGCCAGCCACTCGAAATGTCTCTTTTTCCCTTCCTCGAAGAGAACGCCGCATCTGGCAAGCAGTGCTGGGGGCTGATGAGGCGGTGCACAATGCCGCTAATGCAACCCTAGGCTGAGAGTGCAAGGGAAGTCAGCAAAGGAAGGATTTTTCCACAGCCAGCGGGAATCCCTCCGCTCTCCCTATTATTACCCACTGGACCAAAATTAGAAATCTTGGAGGAGCTTGATTCCGAGCGCCGAGAGGCTTCCGACCTCACAAGGCTTGGTCCGTTCCAGCGGCGAGTATAAGCTTGAAGAAGCGAGGCTCTCAGCCTGCTCCGGAGGACCTCATCACCCGAGATGGAGGAGCCGGGAACGGCGGCCATTTTTGCCCGCTTGCGACCTTCACGAGCCCATCTGCCGTTAAGTCTAAGAGTAGAAAGATCATCAGGTCACAGAGCTCTAACTTCTTCCCCGCGAGTCTTGAAACCTCAAGTCTCGTTTTGTCTCGTCTCCTGCCACTTCCTTCTATCCTCCCCCACCTGTCTTCGGTTTCTCTCCCTTCCTCCCACTTTGACGTTCCCTTGCTCCTTGGCTGTAGATGATATATCCCTTCTCAACCCCTGTCCCCAGCCTCATATGTCTTATCCCACTGACACCTACAGCCTTGCCTAGTTTCAACTTAGCCTTGAGTCTCACAGCGACCGCAGCTCGAGTACCGAGGTAGAGCCTCGCGACTCGAAGTTCGGTAGCTCCCGCATCGGTCATTTACATAGCGTTTCTCAACCCTCACTTGAAGTGATATTGGTGTTCTCGTCCAGTGCATCTGCAGTCTGTCCATACTCTGATGATCTCGCCAGCGATTAGCATTCCCCTCCCTCTAGCCTGTGGCGGATTTTCGAAGCTATACAAACGCGGCACTTGGATGAGAGCGGGATCCTATAAACTCCCCGGCGACTTCTTTAGCCTGAACATCTCAGGGGTAATCAAGCACGTGTCATAGGCAGCTTGTCGCGCCAGGGCACTGCACCCCACGAGGCAGATGGGCCCTTCCAAGGACATTCCCCTCTCTGTCTGCCCACATTCCCGTCTCCCTCCCCATTAGAGCTGTCCTTGTTCGTTTCGGGCGACGATCCTACCTCCAAAAGGTTCGGAACTTCCAAGGTCGGCGCCCAAACTTTTGAGCCAGCCGGTTTTCCCACAATATGAATCCCCTGGCTGCACACACTAGTTCGATATTGAGCTCTCAGTGCACTATCATGATCTACAAAGCACCGTTGCGTCAGAGATCGAAACAACCGTTTGTAGCAGAGGAGGAATCTTGCATCTAGAAGTGAATAGACGGCATATCCAAAGTGCGGGTAGAGGATGATCGGCGGTTAGTCAAGGGCCACAAACGCTAACACCAAGCGAGGCGAAGAGCGAACCAGCAATCGCCTACGAAGTGTGAACATGAAGGGCGAGATGAAGACGCGCGAGGCCGCTGAATGCGGCGGCGGACACAGATAGCGCCCCCAGGTTCCATCAGCCATCTCCAATCGCACCCGGTTCGCCTGCTCCTGTCTGCCGCAGGGTGTCATGCCGGCAAAGACGCTGTTGTGATCCGGTAGACTAGGTGCAGCACCCTACCAGTGGTATATCGTGGATGATGGGAGCCAAATTTGTCTGAGGGACTTCTCATAGTACTATCAAGACACGCAAGGTGCGGTGGATTTGGGCGCGAAAGGCGGGACTCGAGTTCACAGGTACCGCAGGGCAGAGAGTGAGCTTGTCAATCCTCTATGATCAACCGAGGTGCATAGTTCGGAACATTGTTCCAGATCACTTGAAAGCTACAACTTCTTCCATTGGTTCGGCGGGTAATCTAAGAGCAAGATGAAAGATTAAGCAATTAAGGCCCACCCCAACTCCCTTTAAACAGATACTTGAGTTTGGTCATGGTTGGACTTGGAAGCATCCTGTTATAGGAATGGCTATTTACGCGTACGTCTATCTCTATTGGCTCGCCCCGCTAGAAGAGACGGCTTTCCCGTCCCGGGTTATCACTGCTGATGATGATGAACCGCGATGGGGACCTTGTTTTCTCCTGGTGAAAGGAGAATAAGTCCAATTGCCGGCTTACTCCTCTGGACATGTATTCAGGGAAGATGGGCTTCCCAAATCGGTCAGTGACCGACGCAACTTTCTGTGGTTCTGTCATCAAGATGCTCTGCAAGGCGCCGATGCGATGGTCTCTTATCTATCATTCCATTTTCAACAAAGAGTGAGGGGGAGAAGGGGCGAAGGGGGTTGCATCAATGACAACTGAAGACCGGGTCAATATCGTGACAGCCCTCAAGCTCAGTAATGGCCAGCAGACGGGTCGCGTGTGAGCGGAATCAATAGTCATCTGAGTCCTGCAAAGCTTGCTTCTTCTGTCTTCACGTACAAGAAAAGGGGGGCGGCGTGCTGGCGAGGCGGCTCCCTTCTGCAGAAGCGAATGTTGACTTCGACGCCTGCTTCTGTTCTACCGCCCGCCGCCTGCAGGACCTTCCTCTTATCCTTCGCTATACATGGTATTGAGTGAGGGGGAGGGCGAAAATGACAACGACTTGACTCGAGGCCCACGCAAGGCGGAAAGAAGAAAGGGAAAAAAAAATTCGCGTATCTACATGTACGAACACGCGTCGCCGGAGTCCGGTGTAAGAGACATCCATTCGAATGACACCATGCTGAAAAAGAGGGGTGGGCAGGAGAGGAGAGGAGAGGAGAACAATATTTGGGTCTATTGTGCAACTCTGCGAGACAAATATTAATTCGGGTTGCGAAGAGAGCACGATGGAAAGTGAAGAACAAAATTGGGCCATACGAGGTTTGTATTGTTCGTATAAGAATACATTATTGAATCACGAAGGGTGAAGGATACAGCTTCGGAAAATTCATTGTCTTGAACGCTTCAATTCGTATTGTGCCCTGCTTGCTGGCTCAGTGTGGCAGGTAGGTCGGGCGTCATTGGAGGGAACCGCCCACTGAATCTTCTCACGAAGGAAAAGGAATTCAAACCGCCTTCCACCCTATATAATTGGTTTTTCTTTTCTTCTCCAACGTAAGACAGAAAGAGGCAGGGAAGAGACAATATTATCGCTCATGGAAAAGAGGGTCAAGGGCCTTGAGCGTGCTTGGTTGGGTGCCGTGCAGAGATGAGAAGCCAATATGTAGGTATTACTTTACATTGCAGAGTACCTATTAATAAAATGCACACCCCAGTTCTTTGTTGTCGGCTGATTTTGATTGAAGGGCGACTAAGGGCGACCAAGGACCAGCTCAGGTGTCCACGGCTGTTAGATTCCCATGTACCTTTCTTCCTCTTTCGTCTGTGGCACCGCTAGCCCAGGAACAACCGGTACATGGCTTGTTATCCGTCGCCGGTCTGTGCCTTGAATGCCCTTGCCTCCCTCGGGGGTGGTAGTTTTCTGGGTGTCCCTGGCTTCAGAGTGGGTCTCGATATGATTAGCGAATAAGAGCCCATAATGGCCATCCACCCACATTGTTTCGCCCATGGGATTTGGACAGGTGCAGACCCACGGTGCCCCTCGATTCTGGCCTGGCTCATTCCATCTCCGGTAAATGTACCTTCATTTAATGACAAACACCTGCGTGTCTCCCGTACCGGTACCCTGCGGTACTGAGCGAGTTCCTGTATCTGTTCCTGCGCTATTACTCAGGGCATTGCAACTCACCAAGGACCTCTGCTGTACTTGCGCGGCCCAGACAGCTTCGCTACCTTCTTTGCGGTCTTCTCCGCATCGAGCAGCCCGTCGCTCCACGCTTCTCTACCGCCCCAGGGGTAGCCAAAAGTAGAGTCGGGGTACTTGACTGGCTAAGTGGCTGTCTCGACCAAACCCTTTTTGTTCTGGTCGCCTCCACCCTTTTTCGGTCTTCTCTCGTTTTGCCGTCCTCCTTTTGTCCTCCACCCTTTCCGCCTCTCGTCTCCTGTCGTCTCCCGTCAAATACCCCAAGCACAGGAAACGGCGACATCTTCAATCCTCTCTTTTGTTCGAGTCTGTGTTTCCCATGCAGCATCGACAAAAGCCCCTGCGGAAACCCCTTGCTGGTCATTGAATGCCACCTCCGTGGCATTTTTAACAGTCTCTTTTCGCTTCGCCATTCCCATCTCCGGGCTTCATTTCTTGGGCTTGTCCTCGCCACTCGTTTATCATCCCTTCGCTGATCGACGAGCGCAGTCTCGCAATCCCGACCGACCTCGTCCTCGACCATCCGCGACGCATTCATTCTTTTTATCCTTTCCGCCAGCATTTCTTCGACCTTCGTTTTTTTTCTTCTTCTTTCGCTTCAATCCTAGACTTTTCTTTCTCGCCGTCCGACTTCTTCTAGCCCGCCGAACTTGCCCCTTGACCCTCCTCCGTCCAGTAGAACCCGGATCTTCCAAGCGATCGACGACGGCCTGACTCAACCCTCTCAACTGTCGATCACCACTATTTCTAGCCTGACCTCGTCCCTCGACTGATACTACACAATGGCTGAGGAATTCAACCCGCTCCTCATCGTGACGTCGGATGAACATGTGTTTTTCGAAGGTAAGCCTTGGCCCCGGCAGCGTCGGATGCTGCTTTCACCAACAAAAACATTCATCGATCTTGACTTCTAACTCGTCTTTCTAGCCCTGCGAGCGCGCGAGCTTTACCCTAGAGAAGATAACGAGACCTGTGTAAAATGCCAGACCAACGGACGCCTAGTGTGTGACTCGTCTTGCGACGAAACTCAAGGCTGGGTTTGCAAGCAGGTAGTAAAAGTAGACAACTGCAGGGAGTGCCCGAGCACCAAGTGCGTTCAAGAGTCGACGGTCGAAACCGCTGTTGCCGACACCTCCTCATCGCGTTCCAATGGGCCGAGCGTCAGCGTCATTGTTGGCGCCGTCATTGGCGGCGTGGTGGGAATTGCTGCCATTACATACCTGATCTGGAGATTTTGCATCAAGAACAAGCGAGGCACCTCTGAGCCCGCTGTTTACGACGATATCACCGAGCAGAAACTCGAGGCTGAACGCGAGTTCCAGCACCGACGAGACCAACGGTCATCGATGCACACTGTTCACTCAATTGCCTCGACCGTCCTTACGCGAGCCTCAAACATCATTCAAATTGCCTACATCCCCGGAGTCACGAACCGAGCCACGCCTGCATCACCTGGTGTCCTCGTTCCTCCCGTACCGCCTATTCCCATCGCTATTACCGACTCCAACAGCCCATCTCACTACGAGGACCAGCATTTCTTCATGCCTGGTGATTTGCGAGATTCGACTTACTCGGCCATGACGTCGTACACCGACCGAACTTCATTCGCCCGAACCTCGTACGCGCCTCGTTCCAGCGTCGCCTCCACCATTTATGGAAAGAACGTTGTCGTCTCGACCCCTCAAACCGGCATGAGGGCTAAGCCCGCCATGATTAGCGTTCGGTCCGGTGCCGCCAACTCTAGCGGCTCTTCGACGCCACCTGTCCCCAGTGTCGACTATGACAAGTACAACAGGCCCAAGAGCCGTGACAGCACATTTAGCATCGGTTCCGCTTTCATGAAGAATGCCAGTGCCGCCACTGCTACGCCTGTTCGCGCTCAGCTAGTCCGTGTAGCCAGCGGCAAGCGAGTCAACATCAAGTCGAAGGCTGACAACACACCCGACATTCGTAGCCCCTTGGGCCCCGAATCCAGCTCGCCGACAATCGTCGAGGACTCTAGTTCCGAGGAGGGCCCCTTCCTAGACCCTCCTCACCGGCCAACCAGCCTCATGAGCCACTCGAGCACCCCCAGTCTCAGTGCCGTTATCGAAGAGGCGACGAGGAGAGCAGCCCATATCGAGAAGCCCAGGTCACTCCAGCGGGAAACCAGTCCATTCGGCGATGAGCACGCGACGAAGGACTAGTAGGGAACAGACATGAAACTCCGTCACTCCCTTCTCCCGCCATTCCTCTTGCTTGACTGAGCCTGGTCTGGATTGGGCTGTCACCCTTCACTTCTCTTGTTCACATCTTTTAACGCCATACATCGATCGGACAGCCGCCGCATGAAACGAATGCTCATGATTCCCCTTTTTCCCTCTGGCTAGCCTTGGGACGCCCCAGGCTGCCTTTTCCATGTCAATGACGGCAGCTGCTTTTCTCTTCTTCATCTACCTTGGACACTCATGTATGCCAGTCCAATTTTTTGTGCTCTGTCACCTGACCTTTTTTCTTTCTTATGTCGACACCCTTCCCCGAACACTCATTCTTTCCTCTTTTTTTCTCTTTAACTTCTTATCTTACTCCTTTCGGTGGCTGGGATATCTTGGACAGTTGGGAATGGAGTTGATTTAAGCGGATACCATACTCTCCGTCGGGTCCCTTTGGAAGGAATGTACACCAAAGCACAAAAAGCTCAGAGTGCTGCACAGACCACACAGTATGGCGCGCCTGCGCCTTGTGCCTTTCGTCGTCTGACGTGTTATCTATTAAATAGACATGAACTGGAACGAGTCCGTTCTTGAGACGCAGTTTTTGGCCTCCCTTGCTCAAACTTGTATCTGTAAATCGGCCCATATTGCTAGGCGCGCGCTGAAGAGGGAGTGTAAGACAAATCCCGAGTTCTCCACCCCAATTTTTGAGAAGGCTGGGTGGTGACTTGAGAGAGGACCAGGCAGGCGTGTCTAGTTCATCTTCGTTTACCCAACCTCGCCACCGAGAATCCCACCTTTCCCCCGGAGATGCACCTCCCAGAAATCGCACGTATGTCTGAAACGCGCTGCGGCTTAGATCCTAGGGGCCAAGCCCAGGGCGGCCTCCTCCGCGGGACCATGCAGCATCGCTTCCGCCATGGCTCGACATCTTTGCTAGACCAAAGACGTGTCCGCTTCCTCGCAACCTCGAGTGAACGAGGGCGAAGTATGCGAGAGGGGGCTAGCTCGGAGCACAACTCGGCCCCTATACCCTTCCACTAGCCCGTTCGATCTTCGAGTTTGATAAAGAAGAGGTCCTGGCCCGTGAAAGGTGGGATCGTCCTAGAGTTCGTGAGAGTCGGGGGCCGGGTGTCATATTCGTAGTTCGAGATCGCCGCCGCCGTCGTAGATTGCAGGCAGACCTGTCATACCGACAGTTTTAGGCACAGGACTGGGGGGAGGCTTGACGAAAATAGCACTCTCGGGTGCGGCCGCGAACCGACGAGTGCCCTCCCGAGTAGAACGTAACGTCCGCCAATGTGGAGCTATTTTAACAATTGAGAAGGAGGAAAAGGCGGGAGCAGTGTGAGCGTCGCATGTAACCCAGCTCAGCCACAGACTACGTTGGGCTGTCCACCGAGGCATTTGCAAGAAGGCAAGGCGTGGGCGCATATATCGATCGGTTCCTTGATAGTGCTCACCAGCGCGCGATCACCTACTTCCCATCCCATGACAAGGACATTAAAAGTCCGCTTTTCATTCGACTCTAACTCCGTTCACGTTGTCGGCCTTTCTACCGCAGCAGCCTGCTATCACCGACTTCGAGCTCGGCGTTGATGTTCGACCCCCAACTCACCGTGCATGGGAGGCGCCAAATACCCATGCAAGTAAGGAATCTCACGCCCCTCCCTCCCACATCAGCGCGGGGTTCGCTCTGTTGGCATCAGTCTATTCCCATTCCGCGCCACCAACACGTTCGCGGGGAGGAGAGCGTGATTCAGCTCTTCCTTCCTTATTGAGACCGACGAACGAGAACTCCCAAGTGCGCATGGCTTATTTCCTCCTCGGGAGGAGGGGGCGAGGGGGCTCGCGGTGGACTTGTGTGGGATGCTCGTTGAACACACCTCTGCATTTGGCCAACACATGCCGACCAGCCTCCCAATTTGGAATCTCTCACTCGGATCGAGCAAGATATTTTCTGTGATCCCCCCTTCGAACATTGGCTAGAGAAGGTGGCGCAAAGGCCCGACTGCTGGTCGCCTGTCGCCAACGTGTTGATCTTGGCAGGTGTGTCGATCGACAGCCGCTTTGATTAGCTTCCAAGTCGCGGGAAAAGCCGCTAGGACGGTCTCAATGGATGTATTTGGCACGCCGTGCACTCCCGCTGGCCAAATCTAGGTTGATGATCTTAGTGCAACCGCCCATAGGATGGAATGCAGTGTGGGAGGTATATTGGTGGACCATGCGAATGAGAAGGACTAGCCAAGGCAACCGTAATCAAGCTTGCTAAAGTCTCTATCACGGCCTGAATACGTTGTGACGATATCATTATATGATCAGCGGACACTCAAGCCCTATATATAGTAAGTGTAGCGACGAGATAACCTCTTATATCACCACCCGTCGCCGGTTCAGCGGTCTTGGAGGGACAGGTTGTGGTACGCAGTGCTTATAGTGTCCCTCGGCTTACTGCTGGCCTCGGGTCAAATTTACATGGTTGTAGAAGGGCAGAATGCGATGTCGTCAGCATCTACCTCACCTCCTCTTCTTCTATTTTGCGATAGTGGGTGCGTGCGAGAGATGATACACGCTAAACACATGAGAGAGAGAGAGAGAGAGTATATCCTGCAAAGATCCAGGGCCTTCTTTCAGAGCAGCAAGAGTCCCCTCAGATTCGCGAAACTCGTTCAGGAAAGGGCTCATCGGGGTTCCGCTCCTTAGCAACGCCTTGCCGGCCATCCAGCGCTTATGGCAAAGGGTAATCTGAGGCTCAATGATGCTATCCATTCCCCACATCTCCGAGGCGGGACGCTCTCCGGACCAAGATGTGGTGTTTCATAGTTTGATAAAAACGGGAATCGCTAATTCCTAAGAGAGCCTTGTCGGTAAAGTGATCCTCGCACAGACTTGGAGATTCCAGACGCCGGGTCAGGAAGCCTGCTGACATGGATTCAAAGTGAAGCTACCGACCCTGCCACGTCATGCAAGGCCAAGAATAGCGACGCGGGTACTCAATCTATCACATACGCTTCCCGAAGCAAAGCAGTAGAGTCACCTTGGCCATAGCAGCCAGCCTACAAGTGAGCTTGGTCCTATCGATAGACAATGGAGGGATTATCTTGCGCACGAGACTAGGAAGCCGCGGGACTGCTTGGATGTTAGCATTTATCTAAAGAGAGAGGGCCAGGCTAGGTGAAAATCCGTGGCACCATGGCTACCAGGAACCTCTAGATCGAACATATAGGTAGGTAGTCTAGCCCAGCACCTGAAGAGCCGGGCCAAGGCACAAGGAGTCTGGTTTCATTTGTTCAGCTTCAAGGCAGCGGCAGGATGAGCTGTTCTTCGGCCCTGGCGCTTCGGGAGGCAGAATCTTCATCTCTGCTTGTCTTGCGCTTTTTTTTTTTTGGCTTCACGGGATTATCCAGGAATCCGGGATGGGTCTAGCCTCTCAGGAGATCGTTCGCCTATCAACCCTCCTTGGGTCAGACTAGCGCTACGGACTTCTACTTCTGACCTGGGATATGTACGAACTAGGTGTCAATGATCGGACTCGTCTCTTTTTCGCTATATCGGCGCCGGAGTGGGAATTGAGAAAACGGGAGAGGAGTGCTCTAATCTCGAAGGGTGCGGAGGCGAGGATGAAGCCCGGCTTTCATTGGAGAGGATGGGGGCGGCCTCGATAAGACAGTCATGCTGGCTGCAGATTGCTGCAGTCGCTTGGGCGAGTTCTTTGGATCGATGTGCTGGCCTAGAACTAGAGCATGCGCCTCGAGAGGGTGCGGTACATGAGATGGCAACCGTGACGGTGGCCATGGGTAATAGGCTCTCCAGCAAATTCATCCCACCAAGTTGGCCTTGAGCCAGCCATACGGCCGAGTGCCGACCCTGGAGGGCCGAAGAGATGAGGCCTGAAGGCAAGTCGTATTGCTGCGAAGTCGATCCATGGATGGAGAAAATGTCATGACGGGGAGCCGGAACCGGGGGACTAGGGTGGTCTGGGAAGAAAAGCCCGTGACAGCAGGCGGGTGCAGGCACCTTGTATCCCCGGTAGAGAGAGGGCCGCCGGGATCTGGGCGATGGCAGGCAAAGTGCACCAGACGGAGCTGTCGATGGGGGCATCGCCTCTATGCAGCCAGCAGACGCAGACAGGTCTTAGTGGGAATATCCCTAGTCTAGTGGAGAATAGGCTGGCCAAGTTTCCCCACCGCACCACAGGGCCGGCGTCCGAGCTTGGCCCGGTTGGGATCGGTGGTGATGTGGGGAAGTGCTGGCAACAATTGATCCATTTGAACCTTTTCTGGCCTTTGCGACTCACCCTCACGAGCGGGCACACAATCCTCTCTGCGATTACCCCGCAGTCCCTTTTCATCGCCAGAAAAGGGTCTCTTGACTCGCCCCCGTTTTCCCCAAAGGAGTATTATCCAATATTCTCTTGGCCGAGAAAGCAGAAGGCTCGCGGAGCACTTGAGTTTGACGTCTCCTTGTTCCTCGCTCGACACCTCCTCCTCCCTTTCCACGGCGAAGAAGAGGGGCCACGCAGCAAGTGGATTCCGCAAAGGTAGTGTCGTATTATGAAAGGGCCCCATTGATGCCCACTGGGAAGGCGCGAACCCACACAAGTCCCTTGGATGGTGACATTAGATCCATTGATGGATCCATTGCATTCAATTATACTTCTTGGGGATAATCCGGCCCCAGGAGCGTTGTGCTCTCGCGAGTCTCGACCCTTGCCCTTTGAGGGTGCACTGGCCAACGAGTGATAACCCTTGCAAGTCCGCTGCAAGCTCTTAGGTCTGAATATGGATCCCATCCCGGCGGCCCTTGGCCTTCTTTTGAAAATGCCCTTTGGGACATGGAGCATCGTTCTTGGCGGTGCAAAACACTTGAAGATTGCCGTTCGGAGAGCACACGCCTCTGGGTCCAACGCGGATTCAAATTGAGCACGATCCTTCTCGAGCATCGTCCTCTCTTGGGTGCATGCCGGACCATATCCACCGCCACGCCTGTGTCGC